GTATCGTTGGCGGTCAGCAAACGCAAGCCAACTCCCGCGGACAGGATAATGGGGGTCAACACAACCATAGACGACCTACTATCGACACAAACCAAGGCAACGGAGGAGACTGGACCACTGTGCAGATTCGTGGTCGACGTAGGAATCTCGACGCACCTGCGCACAATGACGAAATACCGTTGTCACCGAATCACGAGCAAGAGGACAGGGATCTTGCTCTTGCTCTGCAGTTGCAGGAAGAGGAGGAGCAGCGCCACCGCGCGGAGCAAGCAGCTCGCCGGCGAGAAAGCCAGCTTAGTGAGCAGTTCATCGAACAGCAAGCTCGCGTGCAGCAGGGGCCAACAACGAGGCGTGCCGCGAATAGGGCGGCAGTACGGGCCGGGGTCAACCGAACCGCAAGTAATGCGACATCATCGCAGGATAGCCGGCGAAACTCGAACAGCAACGTTTCCGTACCGCCTACTTCAGGTCGTCAACCGGGCCAACCGCCGCAAATGATACGACCACTCGTACCGCCGACGGTGCCTGTTAGGAGACAGGGAGTCAACCGCCCGGCCGACGAAGGAATGGACGATGCGCCGCCGACATATGAGCAGGCACAGGCCGCCGCCAAGTATGAACCACCCCCCGGTCACCCGCACCATCATGCCAGCAGCCCGGTTTCTGGCCGGCAAGGCAACGGTGCCGGTCCTTCGATGACGCCTGGGCGGCCGGTCATGGGCGGCGGTCGAGGTAGGGTAATGGGACCGGGAGGAGTTGTGGGAAGTTCGTCAGGAGGGAGGGAAAGGGATTGCATTGTTATGTGATGGAAGAGCGCCACGGCTTTCATGAATCGGCGTTTATGTTGAATTGGTGTTTTCGCAGGCGCGGGCATAGGTAGCCTATAGCTCCAGCTTTTGCTCCTCAGCGGACGGCGTTGGGATTTTCAGTCAGGATTCCATAGTCATCAATCGAAGCGACAACGAATCAAGTTACTTTTGTCTTCCGAAACTTAACACGACGACAGCGACACGAGTGATGACAAATGCAGTAGTTCCAATAACAATACTGACAGCGATGTTTCCTAGCATAGAGCTCTTCTGTTGCTCGATGTTGGTGACGGAATCTGACAGGGGCCACGAGGATTTGCTGCAGGGGAAGCTCTGGAATGCAGCGGGAAGCTCCCGATTAGCTGCCAGACCCCCACACTGACGACAAGTTAGGCAGGCGGTCAGAGAGCTCCGCAGGGGATTGTCGCATCATCCCATGTTTACCGGAGCTCGCGCTTCCCACCGCATTTTGATGTCATTGACTAGGTAGGTCACGGAGCGGCGGGGGATTGCGACGCTACGAACAGCAACCAACATCGCTGGTTTCGAGGCATCAGTTTCTGACGTTCTAGCTTTTCAACTCCATCACCCTGAGAGAATCACAAGCTTTCCTCAATTCGACCCTCGAAACGACCGCAACATGGCCCTCCTCGAAAGGTTCCTCCCGCCCTCGAGAGAGAACTGGCAGCTCCTCTCGACGATATGGCAGATTTCTTACCCCATCGTACGTCTCCTTCGTCAAACCCGCGGAAAGAGCAGGCACACCGTAGGCCGGAGGTAGCTGACTTCATACTTACCCGATTGAACAGGTCGGATCGATGCAGTACGTCATCTCGTGGTACGGCATGGGCAAGACCTCCGTCGTCAGCCGCGTCAACATCCCCGGCCGCATCGCCTGGTTCCTCATGGAGGCGCCGGGCTTCCTGACGCTCCTCTACATCATGAACACGCTCCCCGCGCAGGCCGGCATCGAGGACCTCCCGTGGCAGAACAAAGTCCTCGCCGGGCTCTTTGTACGTCCCATCCCTCCCCCTCCAGTGAAAGAACACCGGGGCATGTTTTGCTGACCCATTGACGGCCCGACAGGTCATCCACTACTGCTACCGCGCCGTCCTCTACCCGATCCTCCAACCCTCCATGTCGCCCATCCACCCCGCCGTCGCCCTCTCCGCCCTCGGCTTCCAGCTCTGCAACGCGACCTGCATCGGCGGCTGGCTGGGCGCCTACGGCCCCACGACGACCACCGCCTGGGAATCCCAGCTGGGCCGCGGCGGGCTGGCGCAGTTCGTCGCGGGCATCGGCGTGTTCTACGTCGGGCTGGTCGGGAACTACTTCCACGACGAGGAGCTCCGCGAGATCCGGCGCGCCGAGCAGCGCCGGCAGGAGAGGCTCGTGCGGGAGCAGAAGGCCAAGGGCGCGGAGGGGAAAGTCAGCGTGGACAAGCATTATAGGTTGCCGGAGACGATGCTGTTCCGGTACGTGCTGTTCCCGCACTACTTCCTCGAGTGGGTGGAGTGGTTCGGGTGGTGGATGGCGAGCGGGTGGGGGATGCCCGGGAGGGCGTTTTTGGTGAACGAGGTCACGGCCATGTTTCCGCGGGCGAGGTCGGGGAGGGGGTGGTATGTTGAGAGGTTTGGGGAGGAGAAGGTTGGCAAGAGGTGGGTTATTATTCCGGGGGTGTATTGACGAGGGTGGGTTGGCTTGCTCGGGCTCAGTGGTGTGGCTTGATGGTCATCGTGGGCCGTTGCGAGGTTGAGCGAGCCTAATAATCAACTGAGGCTTCAATTGAAGTTCAACGAGGGAATGTGACCTGTCTTTCTCATGATTCAACATTTGAACACTGCTGTCGTGACCCGAATTTCTCCCTTATCCAGCAGCGGCACGTACGCTATACCGCTGCATATTATTCCGGACGCTGATAAATAACAGCAGAACTGTCATCGACGGTGGTCTCGACCCGGCCGGAGACTAAGACGATAAGAAGTGCTTTGGGGGGGGGGGGGGGGAGATCAAGGTAGTGCTGTTGTGCCTGACACTTGGGTGTTGCACCTCACGTCTTTTTTCTAGGCGAGTTCTGGCACAATGCACCTGCTACTTCCTCAATCGAACGGTATGATAGATTTCTGCGGACAGTGATAAATCTGGAAAATATGATGTTGTGATATGCATGTAAGATTCAGCTCCTCGTATCCCGAGACCACAGCCTGCTGCTGTGTAGGCTTGAGGTAAACGGGAGGGGCGTGTGTTAAGTACGCAAGAACGTTGCACCAGCCTGATTCTCAGGCAAGGCTCCCGAAAATACCAACGAAGATGATCGCGTTCCCCTTAATCCTCTTCGCAGTGACCCCGCTCCTCTGACTTCGTTTCTCTTTACCCCTTTTCCATCAGCGTGACCGGGCACTTCTCCCTCGTCGAACATTATGTTATTCTTGCTGCTGCTAGAAGCTTTCAGTCTCGTCGTCTGGGCGCAAGAAGCAACCTGCTATTCACCAAGCGGTGCAGTTGCCGACAACACAACGTATACAGCTTGTAACAACCTCGGCATAACACAACGCGGAGTCTTCTCAAGCTGCTGCGCGCTCAACGGACCGGCTGACGAAAGACATATCTGCTCATCCAGTGGGATATGTATCACCAGCGATCAACAGCCTGTACGCGGCTTTTGCACGGATCGGACCTGGCGGAGTAAAGCTTGCGTTTCGGTATGCATGGAAGACGAGGTATAGTTGCTCGATGACCCACGGAAAGAAGTCCTAGCTGAAAATGGATGGAACAGTCGGATCTGCTTCTGGGAGGTGCTTTCTTGACGCCATGTAACGACGGCACGGCGACATATTGCTGCGGAGAGTCCAACACGACTTGTTGCGGTACGGATCGTGCCTTCACGATTAGTCCACAGGAGTCCGTGTGTACGGCGAACACGACCAGCGAAACGAGTAGCGGCGACGACCAAGCATCATCCAAAAATATGACCATTGGGTTCGCCAGCGTTCTGGGCGTCATTCTTCTGATCGAAGCTGTCTTGGCGCAGCTGTTCTGGAGGCAGAATAGATGGCTGAAGGTTCGAGTAGCGGACAAACTGCGCGTAGGTGCACCGACTCAACTGCGTACTCTAAGCCACGCCTCTCCCGAGTTGAACGCGAAATGAATCTAGGGCTCTGATGCCGCGAGTACGTTGTCAGTCCGTGATCGAGGACTATAGAGGGCTGTTAGATAGCTTGGTAGAAGCTGCGAGGGGGCTCTCGTCGCTGTCGTCGTTGACAGCGTCACAGCATTCCGGCTAGGACGATAGTGAGTCACTGAAACTTAAATACATAGAGTGCTACCACGCGACGTTTCCAAATGAACATCGTCATGTTGACGATCTACTTGTCGACACACACATTGCGATTATATGATGAAGCCCTGCGGAATGAGAAGCTTGCGCGATCATTCAAGGATGAAGTTGGACTAGTGTGTTCTTGTAACCTTTTTCTGTATACCCTCTCGCTGTATTCAAATAGATGTTTGTTGTCTGCCATACCGCTCATAACAGCACCTTGTTGTGAACTCCTAGTCTCCCACGCGTAGAAAGTCTCTTGAACCAAACGCTTCACCCACTCCATTCAATTTGAACTGAGGCTGATATCGTCACTATCTTGCATCATCTCAGAATATCTGTGTCTTAAGTTTGGAATCCATGGAGCGATTTCGAGCATGGATGACCTTTGCGTTCCGCCTCGAAGCAGCTTCACCTTGATCTCCTTCGCGGACTTATCCATTTCTTCCGCGGTCATCAAGCGTCCGTCAGCTTTTCTCATGATCTCCGGTATCTTTTCCCCCCCCAGAAGCTGCCCGTCAGAGGTGACGAAATGATTAGTGTAGAAGATGAGAGGTAAGGGGTTGCTTTTCCAGACCATCTCCTCCCGTTTGTATCGTCTTGTTCGGAGAATAGCCCAGCTCAACGTGATGAATTCCGCGGCAAGCATGAGCAGGGGGAAGAGAAGCCACCGCCATCTGATCTTGGTGTGTGCGACTGTGACCAGCCCTCGGCCCCGGAACTTCTGGACCTCTCCGCCCTCGAGGTGGAAGAGACCAGACCTGAGTTCGTTCGTGATCCAATCTGCGAATCTCTCGATCCGCTTGTCAAAAGTGTTTGCACTTGTTGTGCCGTTCTCCCAAAACATTTCCAGCCACCATTTCGTATTGCAGTCAACTGTTCAAAGTATCGTTCGTCGACTTCTTTCGGCTGCACTTTCCGTTGAAAATATCCTTGCTCAACAGTGAAGCCATGGTGGCCCGAAAAGCTCCAGACATGCGAAATACGCAAGACTCAGGGACGGATTCGACGGGATAGTCAGGCGCGTTTGCTGGTGAAACAATACGAACTTTGGAATCTTTGGCCAAGTGGTTCAGTTGGCCAACGTCTCTCGCTTGGAGATCGCCATAATCATAGGCTGAATCGTCCATGCGGCATGGTGATTGGATAGCTGTAATGTTCCACGAGACTGGAAGCTTGCCGACTGGCACTTTCGAAAGGACCTCTTGATCGTTTTCTGCAAAGTCGATCGCGTCCGGGTACATTGGCTCATTAAGTAGCTTTTTTTCGACGAGTGTTCCGTTATTGACCTTGCCCTGATAGTACTGTAGGCACGGCCAAAGGGAACACACTCCAGCTGCGAAGTACGGAAGAGAAGGGTCTGACAGGCGGATCGGCTCACGATCTTCGTCGTAGACAGTGGTGATCTCCCTCGTTCTCGATAAGAAAGTGACGTTAGCAAATGCAGCCCCTAAATACGCTTTTGATACCATTTCGGTATCGTTGAAAGCCCATGAAAGATCGTCATCGTTTTGGACAATGAACACGTTCTGATCGTCCTTCACGTTGAATTGCATTCCGTTGGGCAATTCGACGTACGACTCGTCTACCTCCCTGGCCAGATAAGTGCGATCCTCGCATTGGCTACAAATACCAATCGAGGCATGCGTAACTTCGAGAGGTTGGGGAGTGATGTTGGGAGAGAAGATGCAGTATCCAGTATCGCACTCGACTTCAATGCTCCCACGATTGTTTTGAGGGTACCCGAGTGCAGAGTAGACGAAACCGCGGATACCTGGTCCGAAGTAGTTATTGTCGGAGCTGTTGATTCCCGCAGGGCTTGCGGCGGGTTTGCCCACCGTCTGAGTTATAGGAATAGACGCAAGACTTCCTGACGGAAGAACCAACGTTTTATCGTATATGGTGATGGCTTGTTGTATGAAAGGTCCGATGGCGAAAGAAAAGAGGACAACAAGTAATGGCGGTATGCAAGCAAGGTCCCTGAAGACGACGAGGGGAAATAGTTGTAAGGCTCCCCAGATACCCCGGCTTGCGTTGTCAAAAACATTGATGTGATGCAGAGAGCGAGGCGGAGACCGCTTGGAGAAGAACCATATCCATTTGAATTGCGACAGCGCTTCTGCACTGACGGTGACGAGCAGAGATCTGTACATGACGGATAGAGTTGCTAGGACAGAATTGATATTCAAAGGGAAGAACCAGTCGTCTTGAGGTTTATCGTCGGCGTCGAGAAGAATTGCCAGAATAATGCCCATCAGGATGGCCGCTACAGCGAGTGTAATAACTTCTGCAGACCAAAGTCGCATGATTGATGGGTTTTTCGAAGCTGATCCGAAGACATTTTGAGTATCGTTCTCATGTTTGCCTGCGTCGTTCGATTGCATAGTCCATTTCGGTGGCTCGAGTTTCTGTGTCGAAGATCGGAGTGGCCCATCCTCGTGCGCTATGGTGTTGGGCCGGCTGTTGACGTGTTCTTGTGATGATGCGTTGCCGTCCACTTGAATAGCGAGGGGAGACTTGGCGATCAAAGGCTCGTCCATATCAGAGCTGTCGCGCTTTTGGCGTGGTCGGAAATCATGAGGCATCAACATGCTGAGGAAGGACGCATATAGAAGAAACCACTGATTGAATGTTGAAACAAGAATTGAGCACAGAGATTCTCAAAAGCCCCAGTCTCTATGTCATGCTGCTGCGGGTTAGATGTGTGACTTGACGAGCTCTTCTGATATTGCTACACCGTCACAAACCCGTCATACCACGCCCAGGTGAGATTTGCACTTTCACAGTCCAAGAACGCTTTTAATTGGCGAAAAAAGTCTCAGCCGTATGCAGTCATCATGTACTCAAATGAAAATATCGTCCAGCTCATCCTAGCAATGTTCGTGTATGTATCGGTTGCATTACATTTATGTTGGCTACACTTCAACCTGCCGGCGGTGCAAGGCACAAGTCCCGACGCGCAGACTGAACAGGCAGCGCGCAAAGATCAGGCTGCTTCCGCCTCCAGGAATAAGGTCAAAATGGCCAGCTAGAGCCTACTTCGGAGGTGAAGACGCAACCATGGCCACCGCAGCCTTGGAACTGGATGTTTTCTTCGAAGACGAAACGACAGAGCTACTGGCAACCGAATGTGATGAGGTACCAGAGATCGTCGAGTTCCACGAATACGTCGGCCCGACACAAAGAGCCGTTGACGGCTGCAGAGACGCCGTACAGGAACTGCCCACCAGAGAGGGGTTCACGAGGCGGAACAGGCTGGCCTCAATACCCTCTTGGATGCATATCTTGCTGCATGTATCGCCATCCGCCACCACGTGCCATTTCCCACAGTTCAGCGTCGTTCCGGATGCCACTTTCGCTTTCTCAGGAGGCGCAATGATATTCCTAGTATATCCATCACCGAGCGGTGCCTCAGTAGGTGCTGGTGCGGGAACGGTACCCGTATAAGTACCGCCTTGCGGCGAGACGCATATGATGCGGCCCCAGAAGCCAGTGACGTCTTGAAGATTAGAGCAGTCGAAGTACAGCCACTGGTTATGGGTACGTATCTGATCGAATTCGAGGCCCAGGGCCATTTCAATCGACACGCAGGTGTCCGAAGGCCGTACGTAGTACGTCTGGCACGTAAGAGGCACGCAGACGCTGACGCCAGCGTCAATGTCGAGGCAGTTCGGGATGAGCTGTTGATTTCCCATGTAGATGGCGGCCGAGGAAACACTCGTCGCGTTGGCAATGGACTCGCAGGTGTCACCCTTCTTGGTGATGTATCGCTTGCCCGTGACGCAGTATGGAGCTTCCTCTGGCTGCGACTTTGTCAAAGGCGGAGGGATATCCGTGGGTCCCTTGGCGTTGCACTTGCTGTAGATGTACTCCAAAAGCTCTTTGTAATAGCCGTCGTAAGTGGAGTACTGCGAGGACTGCATCAGGGCGATGCGGCGGACGTGACAAGTGTGACAGAGTTCGTCCTGCGGCATCTTCTTGTACTCGGAGACGGCCGTGAAGTTGGCGATGATGTCGTTGCAATATTTCTTGGTCTTGGGGTCTTTGACGCAAGTCTCATTGAACCCGGCCCAGAGGTAGCCTCCGACACGGTTCGGGACGGAATCGTCCAGAGTCATGCCCTGACAGCGGGTCGTGACATCGTTGAACCAGGCTTTCAAGGAGCCAGAGCAGTCAGACGTGCAAACGGCGTCAGTGAGAGCCGTGTTCGGCAAAGGCCCTCGATATCCTCGTTCAGCGAAGCTTTGAACGTAGGGGTCGCAGCCGATGCGAGTGGAGAGAGCCTCGACGCATCCTGTACCCAGGGTCACGTCGAGGTTGGTAGCGTTATAGAGAGCGAAGCCGTTTTGGCAGTGAACTGGATGGGTTCCAAACAGAATGAACACAGCTAAAGAAACCAATCGAATCATCGTCAAGTTGAATAAAATTAGAAATCAAGACGGTTTACTAGAAAGAAAGGTCAAGATAACCGCTGAATAGAAGAAGAAGAGAGCTGTTTTGAGAGAGCTCTAGAGATATAGAGTCATGAAATCTGGCTCATCATAGACGAGAAAGTAGTCTGAAGGAGATAGTAACACAAGAGCGAGGAAGTCCAAGCCTTCTGAAGTCTTTGAATTATGATCTCTACTGAAGGGTCAACTCATCAAGATTAGGATCAAGGTAATCAAATCATGGAGTTTGCACAAGACCCATCATTGAAGCAGTTCGACTAAGCGCATTTTTCCTTGCAGCTGTGTTGTCGCAAGTATAAGACCAGAGATGTCTAGCATTAAATTAATACATGTGAGAAATCCACCACACGCACTGTACAGCACTAGTTTATGTGTTTGTGATCAAAACTGCTAGTGCTGATTTGCCTCACGTAGTGAGATGACTTTATCCCTTGATGGCGAGATAGGCCCGTTGAATGCAAACACCTGATCATTGCCACTTCATCATTCGAGGTGTGTAAAGTTTCCCTTGCTTTACGGCTGTGGCTGTCATCACCAGTGCTTGTTTCAACTTGACGTACCCGAGAAGCCTGATGTCGCAGAACACCTGTAGCCTAATTGTGAAGGTATCGAGGGTAGCAGGCGCATCGATGTGTCGAGCATGGCTGCACTCAGAATGCAAGCAACCGTCGTAGTGGTATATACACTATCGTGTTGGCATGAAGAACCAGCAACTGTGGCGGCCTGCTTCATCTATCTGTAGCGGCTGATGAGCAACTCGTTACCTTCATCATGTTGCGCTTAGCATTGATCCGTTTTACGATTGTCTTTTCCTTGTTTCTTGCACTTGTTGCTGCTCAGACGTGCAGTCCCTCAAGTCCTTGCCGGGTGGGTTGTTGCAACAAATGGGGAAACTGTGGCTTCGGGCCTGACTGTAAGTTCAACGGTCTCCCCTTCTACAGGCCAACAGCACAGATTCTGACTTCGAAATTTGATTTCAGATTGCGGAAGTAACTGCATTTCAGACTGTGGACGGAAATCTGAGTGCAATCCGGGTTTTGGCTCAAAGTGGTCTGAGAGGGACAAATGTCCGTTAAATGTGTGCTGCTCCAAGCATGGCTTCTGCGGTGTAAGTAGACGAGAAAATCTCAAAGATCCATCACAGGAAGCTAATTTCTTGCCAACAGACGACCGAAGAATTCTGCGGTAACAAGAAGGTCACCCATAAGACTTGTTCGAAAACCAGCGGCAACAGCCGCATTATCGGCTACTTTGAGGGATGGGCGAACAACCGGCCCTGTAACGTCTTTTGGCCTGAACAAATACCCATTGGCCTTTACACGCATATCAACTTCGCCTTTGCGACCATTGACCCGGTCAGCTTCAAAGTTCGACCCGCAGCAGATACAGATGTTGGCTTATACCAGCGTCTGGTACACCTCAAGAAGCGAGACCCGAGCCTGAAGATCTTCATCGCCATCGGCGGCTGGACCTTCAATGACCCAGGACCAACGGCTACAACCTTTTCTGATCTGGCTGCATCGATCCCTCGACAGAAAGTCTTCATAGAGTCTCTCACATCTTTCATGTCGACCTATGGATTCGATGGCGTTGATCTAGATTGGGAATATCCCGTAGCCGACGACCGGTCGGGGAGAGCCGTGGACTACGCCAATTTCCCTAAGTTCATGAGCCGCCTGAAATCATCGTTAGACACGGCCAACAATGGAATTTCCATCACCCTTCCAGCCTCATACTGGTACCTTCAGCATTTCGATATTACTGCGCTGGCGAAGACGGTGCACTGGTTCAACATCATGTCCTACGACTTACACGGCACATGGGATAAAGGCAATAAGTGGACTGGTGCCTATCTCAATGCGCATAGCAATCTGACTGAGATCGACTTGGCTCTGGATCTGCTCTGGCGTAACGACATCAACCCGGGCCAAGTTGTCTTGGGCCTCGGATTCTACGGACGAGCCTTTACAACCACGAGTCCCACTTGCCTGGAGCCGGGCTGCACTTACGAGTCTGGTGCACAAAAGGGCAAGTGCAGCAGAGAAGTCGGCATCTTGTTGAACTCCGAGATTGACGACCTGGTGAAGCAAAACAACGTGAAGCCAAAGTTCTACAAGAAGGAGGCCGTGAAGGTGGCATCCTGGGGCAACCCGGCTCAGTGGGTAGCCTACGACGACGAAGAGACTTTCCTCCTCAAGTCCGAGTACGCTCAGAGCATGTGTCTGGGCGGTTTGATGGTCTGGGCAATCAGTCATGATACGAAGGACTCCAAGTACAACAAGGCACTCGCCAAGGTAGCCAACCGCAAGATCTTGTCCTTGCCGGTGACCATTGGCATGTCTAACGACGTGTACGAGTTCGTCGACATCCCCAACCCTCAGTGCAAGTGGACCAACTGCAAAGAGGGCTGCCCTGCCGGTTGGGTGATTGTGCCTCGAAGCGATCCAGGAGCCCGAGGAAAAGAGTACATGTTCGACGAGACAGGCTGCGGCGGCGTTGGATCTCACGCCTTCTGCTGTCCGGGGAGCCAGAAGCAGCCGAAATGCGGTTGGTACACACATAACAACGGAAAATGCGACGGAACATGTCCACAAGGCATGGGATATATCGGTTCGAACAACAAGTATTGCAACAACGGCGGGTTCCAAGCGGCTTGCTGCACGCAGGACACTAAGAGCATTAAGTTATACACGCTGTGCCAGCTGGGAACTTTTCCATTCTGCGACACTCAAACGAGCTGTCCCGGGACCAATGGTATTCCGTCATACAAGACTCTTCTAGCCTCATCATCTACCGGTATGGGCGGTGCCGAGATCTGCTTGAAGTGTAAGTGAAGCTCCCGTTTCAATTCTTTGTATCCTCGTTCAGAAAGTGTCTAATTGCGTACATGCAGCCGGCGGCGGCGCCTTCGGGATAAGTGCCGGTGGCGAGCGCAAGATTTGCTGCGACACCAGTAATAAGAAGATGACATTTTCCGACTGCGAGTGGTACTCTGGCTTAGGCTTCGGCCCGTCCAGCGGGGGCAGCGACTTCTGCCGACCCAACTGCCCAAACGATCGTGTGCGTCTGGCCATGGACACGAGAGCGTCAGGCTGCTCTGGCGGCGGCAAGGCAAGATGTTGTGTTCCAAGCTATTACGATACCATTGAGGTGGAAAATGAGAAGCTCGGTGTATGGCGTGATGAGCTGAGGCGTTGGATGGATGATCCAACCTGCGAGAAGCCAGGGTCCATTTTCGACAGACGAGCTATCGTCTCGATAGCAGAGAACAATGCCCTCGTCAAAAGAAAGCCGAATCCCGGAGAAGTGTCAACTTCGGGGCTGCTTCTTGCCCTCCTCACCAAGGTGGGGACCAGGACGATGCTGGAGGCCATGGAAAAGATCTGGAACGACGGCACCGAGGACGAGTTCCCAAACTTGAAGATGCCCGGTTTCGGTACCTGGCTCGAAAAGGAACCTAGCTACAAGACCGAAGGGCCCATCGAGACTTCACACGACGTCATTTGCAGCCCGAACTACTGGAACGCACGCGCCGGCGGTAGCTCGACCAAGAAGATCGACTGCATCGACGGTCTCTGTACCAGCATCAGCAATTGTGACGTCGACGGGTTCGATCCCAACTTTCGGCGTCGTGACGATGGACAGCTGAACGCGCGAGACTATGAGGACAGCAACTGGATGCTCCAGGGCGGTGCATATGGACATGTAAAAGACCGTCATGCGCTTCTGCACAGAGAAAATGGTCTTGTTTCCCCGAACTTGGAGCATCCTCTCACCTTGATGAAAAGGATTTCTTCTGCAAGGCCCTACTCCCCCAGCCTGAGATCTCCAACAGGTCAAACGACCGCTGTCATTATCACACTACCATCTGTGAGTCTCTATCTCGAACAGACTACTATGTTGGTGCTTTATACTGACTTCGACGGTAATGATAGTACTGGAACTTTGTCGACTACCCTGATGATGACCCAATTAATGACGAAGTGGTTGATTTCGCCAGTAGAGGGGATTGTACCAACTCTCGCATTGTCCGTCTTTCGCTCCCGAACGGCGAGACGTTCAACATAGAACACTTGTTTGATGGCAATGTTATGGGGAGGTTCCTTCAAGACGCGGCGGCAGGAGTGTAAGTCCGGGAAAGTTTCCCTCTCCTTTCCATCCATGATCCTAATACATGGTTTCGAGAAACTGACATCTTGGGACCATAACAGCCTTAGAAGCGGCGCCACTGCCTCCATAGGTCCCATCAGCATCAGCTTCTTCAGGACCGCGACGACGATGCCAATACTTCCCAACCCGCCTCCTCTTCCAGGAGGTGCATACTTCTCAACGCTTTACCCTCGTGTCATGGAGTGTTTGGGAAGCCAGACGAACAGGGCAACATTCGTCGGCGCACACCGTGACATCAACGCCGCGAAAACGAGCCTGATGAGAGGCCAGCAACCCATCGCGCCGAACCGATGGGCGAACCTGGCTTCGAATCAAGCCAGACCAGAATACGTCCTGATGCGTCTCCGCGCTGCCATCGGCGTGATCCGATACATGAACCACCAGGGCACGCCCAACATCAATGGACGGCTCGCGATCATCATCAACAACGTCGGTGAGCAGTGGGACCACGGGGAGAGGTCATGGAATGCTCTCAACCCGGGAAGTCCGGTGCGGATTGGTGATTACTGGCGCGAGTGGGCGCCTGACTTCTTCGCGTGGCTGGTGCTGCACACGACTACCTTCGTCCGCAGAGGCATTCGCGAAATGCGCAACTACTGGGGCGTTTCCACAGCTCCGACGGCTGATCAGGTGTTGGAGATCTTGAGAGATCTAGAGGCTCAGCTGGCCAACTTGGACATTGACACCTCAGGCTTCAATTAAGATGGATGGTTTTGAATATTGCTTGTTTCTACTTCATTCTTTGTATAATAATGATTATTTGGTTTCTCTCACTAGTCCAGCTCTCCATCCCAAGTGATCAGGTGCATGCCACCGACCGTCTCTGGCGCGATGCTGTCCAAGGCACGAGCGGCAAGCTCATTCCACAGCTCCAAAAGACTTCTAGTGGTCATCTTCATCCAGCCAAAGTACCGTTGTCCACCAACTCGCGCGTTCCTCGGTACATAGTTGGCCGCCATGTAGTCCGCTTGCACGCATTTGACCCACGAGTCCGGGCTTCCCAACACCTCGGTGTCAGCTAGTAGGAAGTAGCCGTACTGGGGCGGTCGGGTTGGAGCGTCTGCGTTGAGAGGGGGGCGAGTGTCCCCCGTGTCTGCTGGGTTCAAGAACAGTTGACGAAGCTCATCGATCGACTTGCCCTGCAGAAGTGTGGCGTCCGAACGGAAATCGATGCGGAAGAGATTGAGGAGCTGATCGATAGTCTCCTGTTGATCGTCATCTTCGCGGTGAACATCCAACTCCTCGGCAACCTGAGCTCGGATGTTGGCCAGTAGCGCCTGCCAGTTCTGCTCAGATGACCCGCCATATTCCGTGCGATAGATGGTGAATCCCCAGTTGAGATAGATGGGCGCTGTGTCTGAGTCGGCAACTGAGTCTTCGGTGTCGGGGACGTGCAGTAAGCCGTCGCGGATGTCTTCTAGCATTGTCATGGTTGAGTCTCGTGAGGCGATTAGGTCGGTCTTGTGTGTCTTCGAACTCTCGTCTGATTCGTGAGGAGTGATGGAAGTAAGCAGGCAGAAATGAAAGGATGCGGATCAGCTGGATCAACTGAAATACTTTAGCTCTTCCGGTGACGAGGGATGAAGATGGTGCATGAATTGGGCGAAGTTGAAAGATGGAAGTTGGAAGCTGAAAATAAAACATCACGCCGCACGCGCGGGTGGCAATGTGGAACATTGGACTCACACTCACAGTGCGGAGGTCAATTGCGGAGAACGGAACGGCCCTTACATTTGTCTCAGTGTGAAGTATGCAAGTAAGACAAGACAATAACATCATCTCACAGCCGATGCGATAGTGCTGTCTCGCCGGCATTTTCTTACCTGGATACAATTTTGACAGAACAACATTGGGCATCTATCAGGCTCGTCAGTCAACATGATTCTGGGGGGCAGCAATTGACGAGCTGGTTTAGGTTTGGCAAACATGAGTCTAAGACACCCGATTTCAGTGGAAATTAAGAGACCAGAAGTGAGACGACGGCAAGATCGAGAACTGCAGACTTCCGACATATTTCCACTCAGCGGACTTGGGATCGAAATTGAATCTCACTTTGCGAAAGGTACCGGAATTCGTCCTAGTCTTGCCTGTATGAAGCTTTTCACCCAGTCTCATGAGAGAAACCGAGTTTGGCTCGTGGCTTGCCCAGATGTGACGGGGTAAAATTTCTTGGCTTGAGCTCATGGGAGGCACATATACTTAGTCTCTCATCTTCGCTCATTCTCAAATCAGGATACCTGCGATCGACACTGGTATTTTCTTTCACAGCTGGTTACTCATTGATAACATCATTTCTTGCCATAATCATTATGCGCCTTCTCAAGATTTGTCTGCTGTGGTCTCTCTCGACATGTGGGTATGCATTTGCATCATCACCACATGAGCAAAGACGCGGCGTGCGTAGACAGGACGGTCCTGTGGCACCAGGCACGGCAACCGACTGCACCTTCTACGACACTGCATACGACAATACCTACACTTGCAGTGTCTTCGAAGATAGCTGGGGTCTGTCTCATGCGGACTTCGTAGATTACAACCCCAGCGTCAAAGCCGACTGCAGTGGCATCAAGGTCGGCAACTCATATTGCGTTGAGGTCAACTACGGTCTCCCGCGCCCGACTACAAAGCCAGCCCCCTCCAGTACTACGACCACCTTGAAGCCTACAGAGACAGGCCCGGTGAAGCCCAGCCCGACCCAGGAAGGCCTGATCAAAACCTGCACCAAGTTCTACCGCGCAGTGTCCGGCGACGATTGCAACAAGATTACGACTGCTCAAGGCAACGTTTTCACCCTGGCTGAGTTTGTCTCTTGGAACCCTGCGGTAAAGAGTGACTGTTCAGGTCTCTGGGCGGACACCTACTACTGCGTCGGTATCCCGGGAACACCCACGAAAGCATCAACCACGGAGGCGGCAGCCACTTCAAAGACCTCTACCAAACCAGCCGGGCCTACTCCTACGCAAGACAAGATCGCCTCCAACTGTCAGCGTTATCATCTCGCCAAGTCTGGTGACAGTTGCCAGAAGATTGTTGATCAGTACGGCACTTTCACCCTGGCTCAATTCTATTCCTGGAACCCGGCCGTAGGCTCTTCATGCTCCGGACTCTGGGTCGGTTACTACTACTGCATTGGTGAGCATCTCACCCGAATATTTGGCGAGAGACAAAACTCGGGATCGCTAACACAAGGTGAAGGTATCCCAGGAACGCCGACTAAGAAACCAACTTCTACCACCACCAAGAAGCCACCTGCCAATACCTGCAATCCAGCAGCACCAACACCCACACAGCCAAAGCCGATTTGTGGATGCAAGAAATGGCATAAGGTGAGCAACGGAAATACTTGCGACACGATCATCAAGCAGTACAAAATCACCAAGGCCAACTTCAACAAGTGGAACCCAGACGTGGGTAGTGACTGCAAGACTTTGTGGCTTGGATATTATGTTTGCGTTGGGGTATGATGAGCTTAGTTGAGATGAATAAGGGGAGACGAATGCTTATGCTTGATGGCAGCATGGGGTGCGCCCCTGCCGTTGATCCTTTTTGTCTTCCGTCGTCACAACAGCAATTCAATACATGAAGAAATTCTTTTTTTCTTAGACTCTATCTGGATTATTATCATAATCGAATGATGGAAACTTTATTTCATACTCTGGGCAGTTTCCCTAGTTAACTTCCAGGCTGCCAGGGCTCTGTTGCAGTCTTCCATTTGAGAGCCCAACTGGATAATGCTACAGCTAGAATCAATCGATATTTCATGCAGTTACCACTTTCTCGTGTAAGCGTATCATAATCTCCCGTTCGAGAATTTTGATTCAATATTTCCATCATAACATTCTCTCCAAGTCATATCATGCGCACAGATCTCAAGGAATGGAAACCGTCAAGCTTCTTTATAGAAAAGCGTCTCCGAAAACTGCTCAGGGAGCCTTTGAGGTCACTCGTATGGAAAGAACCTTGAGAGAATCCACTGGCCGAATAGGAACTCAAAACGTCATATGGCTCATTTTGCAGAGCACGCCGATAACAAATGCTAGTGGAGCCATTTATCGCCGTCAAGGTGTTTGATCCAGGCATGAGAGAACTTTAAAATGAACATATATAAACCCGAAGAACGTTGCTCCATAGTGAACCAAGCGTCTACTTACAAAATTTGTATTCATCCCCAAAAAGCTTGTCTCAGATCAAAAGAAAGGGCTGAGCGCAAACCACATTTCTACTATCATAATCTATTTCCTAGACTCCATGAGCCTTGAGCCAGAGCTTAAAGACAGGAAGACCAAGTAAGTAGTGATTCAGTAGAGATCTAATGAACTTGAAAGTAATTATAACGTCCTGTCCACGTAGTTAAGCACTTTCTCAACATTGGCAAAAATGTCTTCTTTGAACGATTTGCCGGTCGAGATTCTTACCAAGATCGCAAGTTACCTAATCGTAAACAAAATCTGTTTTCCCAGCGACAAGATAGAGATTGAGTACGACCCAAATGATGGAGGAAAGGAAAAAGGTGAATATTGGAGCCTTAGCAAGTCGCTGTTACGTCGAAACTATGGACGGGGATTTCAACATCACCACACGACACCAAGTGAGGAGTACAAGTCCCTACTCAACTTGGCGACAGCCTCGAAGCTGTTATCGCAGCCTGCAGAAGAGTGCTTATACCGCCACGCTATTGTGCGTGATCGCTTCTCACAGCATATATGCAACTTGCTCACAACTCTGGCCGGGTCGAAAAGCCACCTTCAGCCGCGCATGAAAGCGTTGATGGTCGAATATACGTCTCAACAGACACGTGGCGAAGTGTTGGGAACCAAAGACTGGCAAGAAGGTGTTCAAAAAAGTCTGATTCCTGGAATGCGAAATATGGCGACGCTGCGCTGCTTGGATCTGAAACGGTCGGATCGCAACCGCCAGTTTCATTTCGAAGAATGGTACGAAGTCCTACCGCAACTACCAGCGTTGCGCAAACTGTCGTTAAGACAATTTCAACGATTGGATTGGCAGTTCCCTGAGTTGCCGCAAGTGCAGGAAGCGCACTTCTATTCGTGTCACACGAGCCGGCTACCCAGACCTATGTGTCTAGCATTGAATATCACCCCTCAGGACAGCGTAAGGTCCGGGATCGTGTCAGTTTTTCAGAAACTACCAGCCCTCCACACCCTTGTTGTCACCGAAAGCTTCTTTGGAGGAGTTCCAGAAGAAGCCTTTGAGCCTTTTGAGAATACGTTGGAGACGCTGGCTTGGATGGGTGCTGCGGGTGACCCCGGCTGTCAACAGCCCATCCGCCGTCTGAAGAACCTGAAGCACCTGAAGGTCGACAACATCGAACACCTTATGAGCAAAGAGTTCGAGCTTTCGGTTCCCGGAAATCTGGCATGTATTATGGAGACGATCGAGCTTGCGTTGAACAATATGTCGGGAAGGGATCACGACTTCTGGGATTTTGGGGCATTTCGTTCCGAAAGTGAGCTACGTTTTCTGGAACGACTTTTGACTGCGCTCGAGAGGATTTGTCGGTATTCGTGCGCCATGCTGCGGGTAATCGATATACGTTGCTACCCTCCTAAGCATCTTATCGACCTGGAAGACGAAGATTATGAACGTTGGAATCGGGCGCGGGAAATGCTTGATGCTTCTCGACTCCGGCTTGAAAACATGGGCGTCAAACTACTTCATGACGAGATTGAGATTCCCGTTGATCAGTCTGCGAGTGAATCGGAAGATGATGACGAAGAGTCTATGGACGAACAGTATGGCGCTGTCACAAATGCATGGGGCAACTGGAGGCCATACCAAGGAACAGGACATACATTGGGTGAAAATGAGCCCGGCGTCAATGATGAGCGGGATCCTTACGTTTAAGCATAAGGATTAGACTTGGGAGAAACACGATCAGTGTATTGAGAAAGGGTTGGAATGGTCGTCTTTCTGTTCGTTCGTCAAGAGAGGCAAATGCCACGAGATAGAACCGATTTCACTGAATGGGGACTTTGCATAATTGTAATACAAGGCCCTGCATAATCAATGGCACGGTTACATCCAGAGTTGGCCGACTGCCGAACTGCATCATGCGGAAGATCCAGCCATCACATGCTGTAACTCTTGAACATTGAGATTGGAGCCACCATGCGTAAGTCGATAATCTGTGCCCAAAATATCCATTGACATCGTTTCGAGTGACCACCGCTTACCCCGGATTGGGAGCACGCCAACATCGGCCCTTTCTACTGCCTGCGGATAGACGGATGATTGTTATTGAAACGAAGCGCCCCAATGGATGGAGATGGTCACGATGGGAGTTACGGATGTCGCGGGAGGAAACAAGACGTCGAGTTTTCTCATCATGTTTCGATGACGTTCGGAGCTCGTGTCCGTGTAGCCGCGGCAAGTGATGAACCTTCCCTAACCCAGAGGCTAACCAATCCGGGACTCTACGCCGAGAACATCCTGGGGTCAAACGGGCCGGCGCGGCTTAGCCTTTTGAAAATATTTGCTAAACATTACTATTCCACTCTCACTCGTTTATGACAGGACAACAGGGCCGCCGGAGTTGCAGTCATTACGGAGAGCGGCCGAAAACAGAATAGTGATCAGAGGAAAAGCAAGGCAAAGAAAGTTGCTAAACAGCGAAAGAACTCCACAAACCAACCTCCATATGCACGTCTAGGCCTGTCGTCATGGCACCTGACCAAGCTGATGCCCGAACCTTTCTCGTGCCCACAGCAGTAGGCGATCCCCGCGGGGAGCTTGTCAACCTGCCAGCTGGAGTCCGAGTACTCCAATGCCCGGAACCTTCCTTTTATGGTCACTATTCCGACAGAAAATGCAAAAAAAGGCGCGATGAACGTGAGGAGACATTGCGGAGTAGGAGCCAGGTCCCCTGTTCGTGTCTGGGGATGTTTGGGGTCATCCGGGGTAATGATAGGTGGGAGATTCCCCTCATGCGGAGGCGGGGAGCGAAGGTGAGCCCCGTATTATGCGCACCAATGAGATATGATATGTGGACTGAGATTCGCCGTCTAGTATAAGAACAATACCCCAACTTTGGAGATTCCTTGGCTGTGCCTCTTGTCGCTCTTGGCTGTCTCTTGTTTCGTCTTGGCTTTGTCGATTATTCCCTTGGCTTTCACACTGCGCAGCGAATGATTCCCAATATGTCGACGGGTATCATCGAGCCCAAAGATGGTGGGCATGACAGTGATCTCACTAGGCACGACAGTGCTACCTTCGACGAGAAACATGACCCCCACGCCGCTCAACATGTCGATGCGGCGAACTCCAAGGTCTTGGCAGACTCGGATCTCATGAACGATGCTTTCGAGGGCGAGAATGAGGAGCACGGCCAGGGGTTGTGGCAGGCTGTCAAGACACACCCCAAGGCCTGTTTCTGGGCCTTCATTATGTGCTTCACTATTGTAAGTAAATGTCGGGTCATGGCGTGTGCGAAACGCAGGCTAATTCATACTCATCAGGTTATGGAATCGTTCGATATGTTCTTGAACGGCAACTTTGTCGCACAAAGAGCCTTCCAGCAAAGATACGGAGTCGACGTTGGCGGTGGTGAAAAGGCCATCGAGACCAAATGGCAGAGTGCCCTCTTCCAAGCCGGCCAATGTGGTGCATTCGTTGGTGTATTCTTGGCCGGACCCGTTGTGAACAAGTTCGGCTACCGCCTGACCACAATGTTCGCCCTCATCCTCATGAACGCAACCATTTTCGTCTCCTTTTTTGTGAGTCACCCGTTCTTACACTCCGAAGTTGCTAGTTTGCTGACTGAGTCTTCTCAGGCCAACTCTCTCGAAGTGCTCACTGTTGGTCAAGCTCTGGAAGGCATTCCTTGGGGATTCTTCATCGCCATTGGTCCCGCTTACGCCTCCGAGATTGTCCCTCTCGCTCTTCGTGGTGCTTGCACGGCTACCTTGCAAATGAGTTGGTCCATTGGCTCCATTGTGGTTGCCGGTGCCACTCTGGGCTACAACAAGCGCATGGATGAATGGGCTTGGCGAGCGCCTCTTGCTCTGCAGTGGATGTTTCCCGTAAGGCTTTCTCTGCATCCAATACATACATCTGTGAAACTGACACTGGGCTTGAACAGACCCCGCTCATGGTTATTCTCTGGTTCGCCCCCGAATCACCGTGGTGGCTCATTCGCCGTGGGCGTAAGGATGAGGCGCTGCGTTCTGTCAAGCGCCTTGGGCCCTCTGGGGCTACGGCTGAGCAAGCTACGAGGAAGCTTGCTATGATTGAGCGTACTGTTGAGATTGAGTCTCAGATGGGCGGTACCCCTACTCTGCTGGACTTGTTCAAGGGTGTTGATCTGAGGCGAACCGCCATCACTTGCTTGATGTACGCCTCGCAGAACTTTGCTGGTAACTTGATTGCCAACCAAGCGACCTTCTTCTTTGAGCGTAGGCGCACCCCCAGCCCCATGCAAATTCGCAGTCAGATACCTAACTCCTTTTCTAGAAGCCGGCATGTCTCACGACCGCGCCTTCGACCTGAACCTCATCAACTCTTGCCTCCAGTTCTTCGCCAACGGTCTGTCGTGGCCCTTGACCGCTTGGTTTGGTCGCAGAACTATCTACCTTTGGGGTACCGCCGTTAATGTCACACTGCTCATTATTCTCGGTGTCTGCGCCTCCATCAAGCAGAGCGACGCCACCAACTACGCACAAGCTGTCCTCGGCATTCTGATCTCCTTCGTCTTCGCCGGGGCCATGGGACCGATCTCATACACCATCATTGCCGAGACGTCCGCTGTCAGACTCCGTGCTCTCAGCACCGCTGTGGGCCGTGCTGCCTACTACGTTGCCGAGATCCCCATGATCTACTTGGCATCGCAGCTTCTCAACCCCACCGGCTGGAACGTTGCAGGCAAGTGCGGTTACGTATGGGGAGGAACTGCTCTTATCTGCTGGATCACTGCCTACTTCGGCCTTCCTGAGCTCAAGCACCGCTCTTACCGTGAGACAGATATCTTGTTCAACCGCAAAATCTCTGCCAGGAAGTTCAAGACTACTGTCATCAAGGTTACGGACAACGAGTAAGACGACATGCTTCGATTGTCGAGTTTCTGTACAACAGTCAAGATATAGAGGGTCTTTCCTTGATTAGATAGAAGCTAGAATCTAGAAGTTCCAGGACTGGCTCCCTCGGTGCCAACAGATGTATCTGTATAATACATAATCGCATTTACACCTAATTCAGCTCATGCATCAAGGGTTAATTGAACTATTGCTTAAAAACTCCGTGGCACTGTGAAATACCGTCAACTTATACTTCACATGACATAAAGCTCACTGGAGCCATGTAGGAATTGCTTAAGTTGTTGATTTAACACCCACATGCCATCTTCTCAAGAGGCATCGATGTTCCCAGCATCGAAAGACTCAGCGAAACCGAGCATCAATAGAACTTATCCGACTAAGTGACCGGAGAACGTAAATACTCTCAGTCAATGCCGTCGGACTTCCCATCACAGGGATACTGATCTCAGCCTGTTACAAACTCTAAACCTTGTCATGTGCGGCAGCGTACTGTCTTACCCCAACAGTATAAGACCTCGAAAAGTCGCACCATTTCGCGCTCACGGCAGCGTCCCATAACCCCTCATCCCAGATATTCCATCTAATTCGAGCGTCGTCCAAATGGAACTGACCTACCCTGATATCGTGCGTCGGCTTTACGACCTCGAACGTCTTGCCGAGCCACCGGAGGCGGAGGAGCGCGGCGGGTGCATGTCAAGCTATGATCGAGCTTCTCGGTACGATCCGGAAACAGACACCTACATTGACTGGGATGCCAACGACGATGGGCGAGGCATTATCCGTGAGGAAGGGGAGTGGGTAGTTGCCTTCGAGCAAGATGGCCCAGGCGTTATCTGGCGGACGTGGTCGGCAATGCCTGATGTCGGTCGCATCCAGGTCTTCATCGACGACAAGGATGACGACAAGCCCGTGATTGACATGCCTTTCCGGGACTTTTTCGATCGGTTTCAAGGCATGCCGCTCAACTTCCCGTCCATCGCACCCACGTTGTCTCGCGGTCGCAACAGCTTCATCCCCATTCCGTACAACAACTACGCGAAAGTCCGCCTCGGGCCCGGCTGGGGTTCTTATTATCACTTCACATATACCGGATTCCCCAAGGATACTAAGCTGCCTCGCTTTAATGGGAATTTCGACCGGGAAGCATGTCTGGCTCTCGCCGCTGCTGACCGCGAGCTTGGCCGACGCGGATGGTCTGCGCTCCCAAGGAGCAAGGACGACACCTTGGAGACACTCACCGTCACCATACCACCAGGAAAGACGCAGGCCGTACGGGAGATTATCGGAAACAGAGCCATCACTGGCATGCGCGTTGTCCCGTTAGGACTACCAGACTCTGCTCAGGACACAGCTCAAATACTGCGAGAGCTTGTGTTCGAGATTACGTGGGATAACGACAAGTCCCCAAGCGTCTGGGCTCCCCTCGGAGACTTTTTCGGCAGTGTTCCTGGTCTTCAGACCTACAGATCTCTGACACAGGGATCGACAGATGGCGGAGGCTTCTACAGTCATTGGTTCATGCCATTCTCCGACCGCGCCTTGATGAAGGTCACAAACGATGGGAAGAAGGAGGCCAAGCTCTTTCTCACCATCTGTCATCGTCCGTTGGAGATATCGGCGAAGGACATGTTGCGTTTCCACGCCAAGTGGCACCGAGATGTTTTCCTTGAGCGACCCATCAGCCAAGGGCGGGACATCGACTGGCCCATCTTGATACTGGATGACGGACCGGGCCGTTTCTGCGGTGTCCAGATGCACGTCTGGAATCACTGGCAAGAGCCGAAGGTACCGGCAAAAGACTGGTGGTATGGAGTTGGAGGCGAGAAGTCAATCGATTGGTGGTGGGGAGAAGGTGACGAGAAGTTCTTCGTCGACGGAGAAAAGTTTCCGTCTACCTTTGGAACGGGCTCCGAAGATTATGTCGGCTACGCATGGGCGGCAGAGCCCCCATTTCCAACGTTCGACAGCGCCTACGCTTGCCAGCCGTTCGTTGAACTCGACGCCAATGGCCATACCTCAGTTTGCCGGTTCCATGTGTGTGACAACGTGCCCTTCCACAAGAGCTTTGAGGCATACATCGAGAAATACAAGCCGAACAATTGGGGGCCAGGTAATGAGTGCCTGTACGCCGTGGTTGCTTACTGGTATCAAAGGGCTGGAGGTTCGGATGCCTACGAAAGAGTGCCGATGAAAGACCGATACGTCGATCACTCAGTCCAATCCGATCCACAGAATAAGGAGATTGGCGGTAAAGACGAGCTGTGAAGGAATCAGCGAAGCGGGAAGTCGACCAATGCTGTGTATTTTCCTAGTTAATCCGAAATAGGCAGTCAATTACGACGCCCTTGTCATTCATTTGCGGGATCGTGCTTAGTGTCCTTCAAAGTTTCGAGTCAATCCTTCAGACTTCGACCATGTCCGCTTACTGACGAGAGAGGACTGGGATGGGTTGATAAAATCGCCAAGAGCGCCTTCAAAGACCGAGCGGCGGCCAGGAAACTCAGAGTCTAGAAGATATGTCACCTATCTAACGAACCTCCGAGTGTTTCTAAATTTGCACGTTACACGTCAAACTCTCCGAGGTTTTCAATTTTGTACTCTTATCTGACCCTCAAATTCTTTCTTCTTCATGTAACGGATCTTTCAGCGCAGAAGTTGCCGTTCAGACGATCTTTACAACGTTGAACAGATGATAGGTTTCACCCACCACACACGTACTACACAGCAAACCAACAGTCCGGGACCCGGAGAATACTTGGCAGGGGCTTGCTAGGTTCAAGCAGAAAAGTGCAGAACAAGCTTTTTGGGGACGGCATGGGTGACGCTAGACTGACGGCTAGCCGCGCGGATGTGACCCTCAATGATTGCCCCGGCTTGCCAGACTCATCGACCAGTGATTCAATTTGTCAATCGAGGAATCGAGGACCAGGATTAACCCAGGAGTTCATCTTGAGGCGGACACGCTTTTTGTCCGATGATTGTCGTTTGCCGACTCATGACTGAGGGCACAAGGTGTCGTCTGCGGGGGACGGATTCATCCTATGAGCTAGCCCCAGTCAGACGGGATATGCGGAGTGCGAATGTTTCAGTACGAAAGTCAATATCATGAGTTGAACTACGTTGTGGGGGTGCGCCTTACACGACCATGGAGGCGTGCTTTTCGGCACTCCCCGGCCAGCAGCGCTCAGCGCGGTGTCTTTATGAAACGATTAGAGGTATTTTGACATTTCTCGTGAACTGATTAATAGGCTCAGCCCCGAAACTCAAGTCCATATACCCATGACAAGAAACTCTAGGCTAGTTCCTAGTCTAAAGGTTGACGGAGCGTTGATGACAAAGTTCGATTACGCCAGCCACTGTTTGGTATGCGTTATATAGGATCCAATCCAGTGATCGTTCACGATGATGAAGTATGTGTTCCAGTATGACCAACTCAAGATGATGTTATCGACGAGGAGCTTTTCCGTTCCAGCGAGAGAGGCACGTATAGTGTACCTAAGCTGCCTCAGTTGTGTCGTTATTTTGGTAGTCTTTTTTAGCTACAACTTGTGGCCGCGAGTCGGTCTACTATCATCAGAGATTTCCAACAGCCATGCGAAAACGAAACCCCAGTTGCAAGTTCCCTTCGGACCCAGTGTCTCCATCGACGGCTCGGAGCATAATGAGTCGTCCTTGTCGCTGATCACGGGAGGCACTAAGCTGCCGAGACCAACCGAACTTAGCGGATCAAAATACGCCATCATACTTCCAACATATGTATGAACCTCAACTAGGCTTCGCAGACGACTAACGACCTGATGAATTGCTGACTTTGTTTGAAAACAGACAAAACACATTCCTCTGGCGATCGAATTTCTCCAATCTTTCATGTGTCCCTGTACCGACTACCAGGAGATTGATATCCATGTCATCGTATCTGACTCTGGCGAGGTGGAACTTTTCCAAGATGCCCTAAATGGGCTGAAGAGCTGTGGCAAACGATTCAGCATTTTCAAGACGCCAGCATCAAACGTCAACCAACCGAAACCGAAAGTCAACATCGTTAATCTCTTCGATATTTTGTCTCCCGCTTTCCATGCGCTGACGACGGGAAACATCACCCGCGAGGACACCTCGGCACTTCTGAGAGAGCGCGGCAAGTACCAATACCAAACCATCAAGAAGATGGCAGCGGCGATGGAGCTCAAGTACAACTGGGCGCTCTGGCTGGACTCCGAGGCGATTGCGGTTCAGCCATTCAGCATGAGACACACGTTCGACAGTTACATCCGAAAGCCGACGATATGGAGGTCGAAGATGACCAACACCGATTTCATGAGAATGAACATCGGAGGGGCAGCAAATGTGCTGAACCGTGATATCGAGTCCTTCGGTCAGAGGTACTGGAATTTAGAAAGGTATGATGGCTAGAAAAGCACTCATAGAAGCTATTGCTGACCCCATGGTGTCATATAGCGTCGAGTGGATGTTCGAAAAAGCGGTAGTCGACGATCTCGTCAAGTACGTGGAAAACGAGCACAATCAGGATTTCTGGACCACATGGGCGACGAAGGGATCTCCGTTTGAGGTCAATCTTTACAACATGCACGTTCAAGCTCGAAAGCTGGAGACAACAGATGCTCTGTTCGCGAAGTATTTGATCATTGAGACAGAAATGGAGATGGAAAAGTTTGGGTTCTTAGGTAAGTAAGGTTGAAAACATACCCAACAGCCTTCTAGCCAATTTAGACACTCAGAGGCTGACGTTTTGCTATTTTAGGACGGGCGAAGGCGATTATTGATACCATGGTAGGCACGGGGCTTCTTGAGAGAGGCTATGAGCTCTTCCAAGCTTCCGAGATTGTACCAGGCTTCTCCTCGATGCTACAAAAGTACGACCAGAGGCTTTTCCGTATCGACGAACTGGACATCGCGCCGCCGGAGGTCATTGATAAGTTTCTGTTGGACACGCCCATAGACATCCTCTGCTCGGGTGCACCGCCATTGCATGCCTGGTGGGAAAAGCGGAAGAAAAGCATCGGATAGCGTTGCTGCATCAATCAAATACCCCAACTTTTAGTCATTCACGCTTAGCCAAATCAGAAAGATATTCTTAACCTTTGTTTCGTACTTGCGCATGTTGACTGGGTGACGTAGCAAATTAATCCATGTTACCAGATAGCTACATAAGACCAGGCTCAAAGCCCTTAGATACACTGGAGATTGACTCTAGCAACGTGGCCTACAGTACCATTTCCATTCGCCACGCCGCCTGTGACATACAGCAGTCCTTCCGGTCGGAACATATCAACGGCTACAGAAGACGCAGCTGACAGCAAAGGCGATGAAGCAAGAACGGTCTGTCCGCCCTTGATGACATCGATCTCAAGAACCTCTCGAGGTCCGTTCGTCGCAACATAAGCCCGTTTTCCGTCTTTCGAAAGGGTAAAATCGTCACCAAAGGTTATGTTGGAGGCGAGAGTCTCGACCGGCCCAATTGCCGACCCATCAGCAAGAGAAATGGTGACTCTGGCGAATAAACCCTGGTCCAAGCTCACGAAGTAAAGGTTGTTTCCGCGGATCCGAATACCGTTCACGCCGATGCTAAGTCCGGAGGCCAAAGGTGCCATCTCAGGCTCTTCGAGGACTGTGTCGAAATCTCCAGTCTCGACATTCAATAGGGAAACTGTCCCCAGGGCGGAGTCAGAAATGAGAAGATGCGCGGTGTCGTTGGCGGCGAGACGACTCATGCCGTTGAGCTGGAGAGCCTGGGGGATCCGCCGAACCAATGAGACCTCCGCAGGCTGGGTGACAGTGCCGTTTCGGGAGATCTGGGACTTTCGCAGATCGACTTTCCACACGCCGTTTGAGTTCTCGGTAGCCGTTAGGTTCGATCCGACGACGTAGAAGATGTCGTGCTCCAACTCGGAGATACCCAGCAGGCCGGTGACATCAGCTATTTCAGCAATAGCAGTTGGTGGATGTTCGTTCTTTGGAGATAGCTGGTACAGAGTAGGCGAGTTGACGGAGGAAACGAGGATGTTGCCGTTGCTGCGTATGGCGAGGTTTTCGAGGGACGTGGTGCCGGGGACCGTGTGAAGCGTGGTGACGTTTCCGGCTATCCGTTGATCACACTGGGCTGTGGGCACAGATTCGACGGCGGCAAGTAGAGATGTGACCACCAGGCCCAGGGCCTGAATCGTACGGTTACGAATAAACATTACGGGTAGCAGAGTCGAGAAGAAATGGCTTGTTGTCTGAAGAAGTCATGTTGGGTTGTTGGGGGTTTAAATCAGCTGCGTTAAGATGCAGCACGAGCTAGATAAGAGAGAATGCTGTTTGGACAATCCACTATGTTATATTAAGTGCCCACAGCAAATGAGGGTGGACACGAGTTCAGTCGACGACTCCGGGCATTGGGCAACAGCGGTTTTAATCAACTAAATCCGTAGATCCTCAGATGGTCGCGGCCGAAGGAGTTGGTTATCCTGCTTCAACACAGACCATAGGCCATGACAGCATGAGACGGGCACTCTTATGATCAATGCCAATTGAAAGCATGACAGCCAAAGCAAGCGTGAGCTGTGACGGAATCAAATCCAATTAAACGACTTTCTGAGTTCAAGCGTACAAGATCATACCTATGGCTATGCCGTTGAAAACTTGAATAGACGGCAGTCTTTGGCGATAACTATGATGGAGCGGCATCTTGAGGTGACAACCGGGCAATAGAACCTAGAGGCCCATTCTTGACTCACGGACAGGGTTAGCCACAGATCATGTCGAATGTTCATACTAGAAGCTTCCAAGAAACCGATGGGGGGAAATGTCTTGGGCTCAGCCAGCTTGGAAGGGTTGAAGTTCGGCGGAAGATTTCTATCCGCGGACATCAACGACTAGATACTCGCATAGAGCCCCAAAACAGCTGACCGATGATGCAAATTTTGCACCACGCTCTTCGCGAATCAATCTTAAATCCATGCCACCGGAGACAAGTTTTAAATCCGCCTAGAAAACATCGGCGTTGGTGAACTGATTCATGGGCCCCACTCCGTCTTGCGGGAGATAGTCCTGCTTCCCGCTAAGTGGCGCCGCCGCCCGGGATGTCAGCGACCTGCATCTTATCGCCGGAACTCCGTCGATGCTTGAAACCACTGTCCCATCCACCCACTTTACGTCATCGCGAGAGCTTCAGTTGTTGAAGCCAGCCGTATATATCAGAAGCCATGTTCGCAACGATTTCAAAGCGAGAGCGATCGGAACCCTTGATACCAACAAATCCTTGAGACTCTGCTCTATACTCAACTTCATTCCAACAAAAAACAAAATCAACGATATCACAATGGTCAAGACACTGCCTTTTGCTGACATTCAGGTCCCATCCCCGGGCTTCGGTGCCATGGGTATCAGCTTCGGTCTGGGAAGCAACTTGACCCTCGAGGAAGCCGAGCCTGTTCTCCTGAAAGCCATCGAACTTGGATGCACCTTCTGGGACACTGCTGTATGTCGTAAAGAAGAAGACTGTTTTGATATAAGTACGCTAACTTGTGGACTAGGTCGTTTACCAGGCCGGAGTCAACGAGAAGCTTCTGGGAGACTTCATCAGAAAACACAACGTTCGCGACAAGGTCTTCCGTGAGTAAGACACTTCCACTCATTTTTATCAGTCTAACCAGTCGTCTTGCAGTTGCCTCAAAGTGCGGTTTCGATGTGTTTGGAAGCGGTGGTGTCACAAACTCCGCGTCTCACATCAAGGAGTACATTGAGGGCACCATCGAAAGACTCGGATTTACTCCCGACCTCTACTACCTTCACCGTATTGACCCTAGTGAGTGGCTAATGACCGTTGAAGATTCTCGTTTGTTCGATACAGCTCGCTAATTTAGCCCAACAGAGACACCGCTCGAAGAATCGATTCCGGCTCTCGATGAGATTCGCAAAGCCGGCAAGACCAAGTACATCGGTCTCTCTGAGTGTTCTGCCGCCACGCTGCGCAAGGCCAACTCAAGTAGGTTTTGCAAACCTGTTTCAAAGTATTGAAGCTAAGCAAATAAAGTTGCCAAGATCGACGCTGTTCAGGCAGAGTACTCCGCTTTCGAGACTCTCCACGAGACCGACGGACTCATCGACACCGCCAAGGAGTTGGGGGTGGCGTACGTAGCCTACAGCCCTCTGGGTCACGGCTGGCTCGTGGATGACTTCCAGTACAAGAGTCCTGATGACTTTGCCCCCAACGACTTCCGCCGAAGTGGTAAGTTTTCTCCTTATTTGTATTGCTAGCGCACGAGTGGCATTGTGCTAACTTCAATCGATCACAGTACCCAAGTTCCAGGGAGAGAACTTCTACAAGAACAAGGCCATCGTCGACGAGATCAAGAAGCTTGCGGAGAAGAAGGGCTGCACTCTGCCCCAGATTGCGCTGGCCTGGGTCGCTGCTCAGGGCATGATTGCTATCCCAGGAACCACCAAGGCCAAGAGACTAGAGGAGAACTGGGCTTCCCGAGACATTGAGTTGACCGAAGAAGAGAAAAAGGAAATGAGGAGAATTATCGATGCTGCGAAGCCTCACGGGAATAGATATGCCCCTGCTCAGCAAGCAATGGTTGGACACTAGACAAAGTCGGGCCCTGGAACCAAAATAGAGGTACCCAATTCCGTCACAAATGGCGCATTTTGAAATGTAGTCTCTTTGATGGGAGTCTCCATCATGATAAATTGGTTATCGTCGAGGAAGTATCAGTCTGCTCATATATGATACATCAGCTCCAAAGCACTCTTGTTCTCAGTGTTTCCAACATGGGTGCTGGCTTTGATCACTGAAAAGGCCCCAATCAATACGTTGACTCGATTTGAAACGGGTTACTCGGGCATTCCTTCTCCATGAGACAAGCTTCTCTTGGTGTTTCTAAGGCACTTTGGGTCTCTCGACCCTTATGTCAACCTCGATCATCATCTCCGCATTTCTAGACGTGACTCGGCCTCCGGCCTGGAATCCTATTGAAACTTAAGACTCCGGGAATAAAGAGAGAGAAGTGAGATTTTTGACGCGTCCGAAGCCGATATCACAATACCAAGCCTACCTGGCCCGCTATCACAAAGAAGTCGTTTCAACCACAGCCAACAATGGAGATGCGTGGGCGTTCACGAGGCCCTCGAGCGAACGGTATGGAAAAGGCATACTGTCATGCTTTCGATTGCTATAGTTTATATATCTTTGAAGTGTTTCTCGTCTTAAGAACTTTCATCAAAGCCAAGCTGCAGACAGCTTTGGGAAACTATCAGAAAACAAGACCTTCCAATGTCGACACCCAACTCACCAGCTGCCTCGAGTAGGCATACGCGGAACGTTTACATCATCAAACTCCAAGGCACACTAAGCCGGCTCTCGGTAATGCGACGCAGTAGTCATCAGTCTTCTTCCTTCAGCTGGGCATTGCTTGTGCTCCCGGTGAACAATGACGGCGGCGTTGTTTGGTTCATTCCCACCAACAGATGGAGCGGACGGCCCTCTTGGAAGAGAGTCGAGTTCAATGTCGACAGAGAACGTTCTGGTCTTACACGACTCGGAAGCTCCACGCGTTCTGCTGCATGGATCAATCGCCTTGGTAATGTCGGATGAACTCCTGGGGGTGGAAACTCGATGCTAACACTGCTCCCAGCCAACCAAGTCCTCAGGGATCTTGATGTTAACCACGGTGATGAATGTCCTCGGGAGCTTGGTCTTGTGTTTTGTCGAATGCTCGGCGATCTTTTGCTGGGTGAGATGACGAGAAAATCGAGCAGCGATTCGACGAGGGATGCCTCGAAGTCAGCACCGAAACATCTATGCGGAACTTCTGGAAGACAATGCGGCGCGGATTTTTGCCCCTCTGCCCCATTTCACAATACCGAATCGGAGGACGCAGAGTGTATGGTCATCGTACCAGATGGTACAGTGACAATTGAGGAGGATGAGCATACGTCAAATACGATAAGTGGCTCAGCTGACACCCCGACGTCCACTGACGATGCAGATTCCGACGCCGAACCTGATTCCTCCGAAGACGACGAAGAGACTTCTTCAGAATACATGGAAACGGCCTCGCAGACATCGGAAAGTACGGATGCGTCGGACGAGGAAACGAATGATGACGATGCTACTCCCGCCTCGGATTCATCAGGCACGTACAGACGCTATCGTAAGGTGCAAGTATTCATGATTAGGTGGGAATCTCACGATGTGGAGACTCCGAGCGGCTTCAGCCTTGACAAGGAGACAGATGACGTCGCTGCGGCGTTTGAAAGTTTTGGATACGACGTTGACCAGTTCTTGATTCCAATTTTCATGCCCATGGAAAGTCTGAGCGAGTTTCTGGAGTCCAAGATGAAGTCATGCATGTGGCTTTATGACGAGGACGAGACACTTATCATTGTGTGGTATGGTGGACATGGAGGCATGGATCACGACCACTGTTTGAGATTGGCGAGGTATGTGGATGTTATTCCCGACTTCTCATGGTGTTTAAACTTCGCTAACCTTCTTTCACAGTCATGCGGATGCTGACACCGGTGGGGATTTTGCATGGAAGGATATTTCCACAAGCTTTCTTGAGGTCAATAGTGACCTTCTAATCTTCCTCAACTGCTGTCATGCGGGAGCCTCAGTTCCCGATGAAGAAGAACTCGAAATTCTCGAATCGCACAATAAGAAGTTCATCAAGGAAGTCTTCTGTGCTTCAGGTTTCGACGCCTCAGCATCTTACGCGACCGAGTATTCCCTGGCTCCCACATTCATCGGCGTTCTCAATCGCCACAGAGAGACCGCGGATTTGAACACATCTTCTCTGCAGCGGCAAATGATGCATTTTATGAAAGGTCATCACGAGAGTTATTGGCATCGACGCCTTGACTGGGTGCACGACGAATCCGTGGGCCATACGGTTCTTCAGGTGACTCGAGAACGGGCAATTTCTTCCAATACCCCAGTGAAGATTGAGATGACCTCAGGCCGCCCAGGCGCGATCCTGCTACATCCGCTCCCGGACCCGGAGGTCGTGAATAAACTGAAGAGGTCTTTGTGCTTTGTCGTTCCTGATGACGAAGACGAAGACAACGAGGACGAGGAGAACGAAGACGACGAACCGCCCGCGAGACGTCGAAAGATGAATAACTGAAATGCAAGCCACGCATAGGCTCGACAATGAACTTGTGGCCTTTTCACACTGGATATGGACATCAGAACTCGTTCGGCTCAACGTTCCCAATCGATGGACAGCAGCTTGGCTCAGTGCAGTGATGAAATCGACGTCGCGGCGACATTCACCTTGTTTTGCTTTACGAATCTTTCGTGTTTCGATTTTCTCGACATTGTATTGGCATTGCACTTCTCGCATACATAAAGATAGAATGCTCTTCGCCTGTTTCTTAGCTTGGAATGATAATTGTGTCTCTATTTTCTCCGCAGTTGTGGGCTCAGGCAACGTGATCTTCTCCTTCTTTTATCGATCGGACTTTGATTCCACCAATGATCAACTGTGGTGAACGCAAGACGGTAATGAGCCCAATCGCTTTATTCCCTTATCTCAATCCTACCAAGACTAGCAATAGCAAGTCTTGGTATGGCAAACAGATGGAGGTCTGATCCTGGCATTAACAAGTGATTGTATCGTGCAGGTATGTGCAGTTCTTTTGGAACATTCGGACCAGCGACGTGCGTTCATTGGTTGGAGGTTGCGGACGCCACCGGGGACAAGTCCACGACAACGGTTCTCGGGGGGTCCGGGCCGGTCGGTGCACCTTGTTCTGCCGGGAATCGGCGAGGAAGGCCAGGACGCAGCCAAGGAACTAAGTCGGTCGGGGTGCGTTCAGCCGCGGGGAAGGAATACTGTCTCCGGCAACGTTCAAGGCCTCCATTTGGGCCAAATCGGATGATAAGTCCACCGAATGTTTGCTTGAGTGGGTACGATATTCATCTCGATGCTCCTCTACAAGGGTGAAAGGCTCGTCGTTGGAATAAGTCCAGGATCAATTCAGGGGACATTGAACAAACATTCAGGGGTAAAAGCGTTGATATGTTGTTGGTACTGGGGTATGAACGATAAGTTAGACAACAGCTAGTCCAACAGCATGCACGGCAACGTAGGACAAACATCAGGAGGGACAAGAACTTTGTTGCGGTGTAACTTGCTGATCCGACGGAATGGCTATATCTACTTTTCCCTCCTCGTGCAACTCGAGCCGCTCACTCTTCATGTGGATCATTATCTCCAGTCCATCCATTCCCCCTTTTATAACAATGTCTCGAATGCAGACCGACGAGGAAAAGCATCCAGAGCTTTTCCGGCCTGACCTCAACATCGACAGGCGAAAATGCAAGCGAGTCGTGCCAATGGAGGTGCTCGCCCTTGGCATGTCCAAGACGGGCACATCTTGTAAGTCAACTCTCAACCCTACTTCGACTCCCGAGCTTACCATGTTCGTGATCAGCTATGCAGCGAGCACTCATGATCCTGGGCTACAATGAAGTCTACCACGGCTTCTCCATGACAGCCAACATCTGCGAGGTGCCTCTGTGGACGGAGGGCATGCACATCAAGCAGAACCCCAAGTCCGGCCAGAAGCCCTACGGCCGCGAGGAGTTTGACGGGCTCCTCGGCCACTGCGGCGCCGTCTGCGACCTCCCGCCCAACTTCTTCGGCCCCGAGCTCGTCAAGGCCTACCCCGAGTCTAAGGTCGTCCTCGTCGAGCGCGACTTCGACGCGTGGTACAAGAGCTTCGACGAGAGCATCGTCAGGGTGGCCTTCAACCCCGTCTGGCGTACTCTCTCGTGGCTCCGCGCCCGCTACGTCGCCGAAATTGACGACATCACCTTTGCGTGGATGAAATACCAGTTCAAGTCGGACACGAAGGAGGGAGTCCTGAAGAACGCACGTGAGGGGTACAGGGCACACTACGACACGATCCGAAGGGAAACGCCCCCTGAGCGGTTGTTGAACTACAGTCTGAAGGATGGCTGGGGCCCGTTGTGCAAGTTTCTTGGCAAGCCTATCCCCGATGAGCCGTTCCCGCATGTCAACGATCATGAGGCGTACCATGAGAAGCTTCAGATCATTATCAAGAAGGGAGCCCGGGCCTTCGCGTGGAAGATGATGTGGGTTGCTGTGCCTGCGCTGGTTGGCGTCGGGGCATATTATTTTGGGGTGAAGGAGGGGATCATTGAGAACCTCAAGCTGCCTTCCATGAGTTAGATTGGTGTAGCTTGACTGATACACAGTATCCCTTTGCCCAAATACACCACATCCAGATTCCCTTGATCATCTAAACAAAAACAATGAATCCAGCAAAAGAACAGTATTCGGATAAAACAAAATTCAAAAACAAAACAAAAACTGATGAAACCTTCATCCGGCCCTCCTTCCCACCAGGGGAATCGAACGGAGCGCCTACCGGCGGGCAACAGTGCTCCCGATCCAGTAGAATTTCTTTAGCTGACGATATTTTACCCGCTAGACCACCTGGGCCTTTGCGGAACTGTTGGAAACTGAGGCAGTTGGATTGGTCATAAGGCGTGTGTCTAAGGGTGTGTGGCAAGAGCGGAAGGAGGGCAGAAAGGTAGAGACTGGTCCTTCGCCCCAGGCAGCTCCTTCCGCAAGGTACCTTAGCAACCACGCGTCTGTGTCTCGCCAATAGAACCTTTTTTAAGATTTTGCGTATCACGTAAATTGGAAGAAGTAAGATACGCTGGCAATATTCTTTAAGCTTGTGATGCCTCATCTGTGTTTACTCGCTGTAACTGCCCTCTTCAAGACGCTCGCCGTGCCTTCCTAGCTCAGTTCAAAATATGGGTAGGAACAGAAAAATATCCCAGATGGAGCACTTGAGCTACGAACGGATCGATGCGTGTTTCAGTTTGTGTTTATATCTTCAGCTATTGTTTAATGTCCAGCCCGTCATCATGGTGTCTATGTCTTGCTCTTTGTTCATGCAGCTGCCTTGTCACCTGTCATCAAAGAGCATTGTTTTGAGGGCCGAGGGAAATCACTGGAAGTAGCTGGTAACCTCATCGAACCCCAAATGCTGCCTCAAAAATCTCCTTTGGCATGTTCCAGGTGCTAGTAAATCTCAGATCTAGGCAGTGGTGCAGGTTCATCTCGAGGTGAACTGATCAGGCAGGAACAACCTTCCTTTTGGCTCAGCGGAGCTCACAACATCACGCTTAATCTTCTCTTCTTCGCAAGTCACTGACTGGGAGATCTCACACGACTCACAGCATCATTTTGAGCGTTCTGTCTGCATCTCTGCCCTAATCTCCGCTCTTCTCTCTCACTCCCTTCATCTGCCAGAAAGCTCTTGCCTCCAGGCACTGTTTTCTCTTATCCTCGAGAAATTTCCGTCAGCTCTTTCCATCTCTCTTCTCCCACCCACAAGAGCTTTAAGCCCTTCATTTCTCCCCACAACTCAACACTCACCACCATCCCAGGTTGCAACCACTTGCATTTCATCCTTTCCCATCATCTCTACTACGCAATCTCTTTGCATCAATCATCCGATCAACTCATCAACATGTCTTCTTCCGAAAGCGGCAACGAGCCCAAGCCTCTCACCGAGCGTGAGTTGGAGATCCTCAAGAACGCCTGGAATTGCATGAAAACTGCTCCGGAGGTAAGCACCCAATTACATTCCTCATCGTCATTTTTCACCGTCTCTCTATTCTTATGGCGTCCTAACCTCACATTCTCCAACAGATTGACTACCCCAAGCTGGCCGAGGCCTGCGGCATGACCAACCCTCGCTCCGCCTCCAACGCCTGGTCCGCCATCAAGAAGAAGCTCTTCTCCGACCTCCCTGCCGCCGTCGACGAGGACGGCAACCCCGTCACCCCCGCCAAGCGCAAGCGTGCCACCCCTGCCAAGAAGAAGGCCGCCCCCGCTCCTGCCGCCGAGGACGACGAAGACGAGCTCCAGGCCGAGACCGAGGAGAAGCTTGTCGTCCAGACCCCCGTGAAGAAGAAGCGTACCCCGGCCAAGAAGAAGACCGCCGCCGCCGCCGCGGCTTCCACCGACGCTGAGGCTGACGCCGAGGACTCCACTGCGCCTGGTACTCCGGCTAAGAAGAAGCGCGCTACTCCCGCTAAGAAGCGCGGCCCCAAGGCCAAGAAGGAGGAGGACGAGGATGCTACCGCTGCTGAGGAGGACGGTGCTGCCGAGGCTGCCAAGGGCGCTCCTGCTCAGGAGGCCAAGTTCGCAGTCAAGGACGACGTTCCCGAGGACGTCGCCATGGAGAACGGCCAGGACAAGGCCGAGATCTAACTCGACCTCTCTCGTCTTGCTTTCTTTTCATCGGCTTTCACGAATCTGACGACGTTTCCCTACGGTACTCGGTTTGGCATGGACGATTTATGGAATACGTCCGGATCAATGGCGTTTGGGATTAATCAAGGTTTTGGGGACTGGAAAAGGGTATTGGTGATCATGGCATGGCCCTTGTAATGGGTTTCTCAGAACATAGATGACATCTTGGTACACCTGGGTCTTAGATACCGAGCAGATCAGAATCACACCTCGCATTGCACACATGCTCCTACCTTTCCATCATGATGTTGCCGTTCTTGTGCTACGCATGTTACTATGTCGAGACAGTTGTGGCAGGCCAGATACCTCTGAATCTGATTACACTCACAATGATGTCCCAAGTCATGAGCCCGCAACCCGCGCGCTCCCTTCCCTTCTCTTGGTCTTTCATCGGCCCCGACTACGCAAAAGGACTACCACGTAGTGAAATGGGAATCGAGTCCCTAATATGACAAACATACAAGGAAAGAGCGCCTCGCGTTATTGAGCTTCTTGCCCACCATTCGGCAGGACGCAAAATCTGTTGTGGTCGGGTAGAAAGCGAAAGAAACACCGCCACCTTGCGAAGTATCCAGCGGCACGAGTCCATGAAAAGCATCAATGGCCGAAGTTCTTTCCTTCTATCGTTTTGTTTTTGAAGTTCCGGTTGATTCTGTCAGTGATCGCCCTGGCTCAAAGGGCGGGATGAAAGGGAGAACCTCGCTCCCTCGAACCGCCTCCATCACCCCACGACAACGCCTCTCAGCCATCGATCGAGACCTCGTCCTCAAAAAGAAACTTCCAAACTATCACAAGGCCGTCGAAAATGGCCCGAATCGCAACTTTCCTTACCGCCATCGCCGCACTCTCAGGCGCCGTCTCCGCTGTGATCTGCACCTCGAGCGAGACCTACTGCGGCGCTCGCCTCCTCAAAGTCGGTCGGTCTCTCCCATCCCTGTCCTCTCATGACCACACACGCTGACTTTGAGGATCAGATTCGAGTAACCGAAAGGCAGTCAAGGCCGCACTCGCCGTCGGCAAACAATCGACGGACGACGCCCACGTCAATCAGTCCGTCTTCTGGTGCGTCCCGACCGGCGTTCCGGCCGGCGACGCCGGTCTGCTGTTCGTCACGTTCTGCGGCCCGACCAACGTCTGCCAGGAGGGCGGAGCGCTCGGCGGTGTCGGCGATGCTTGTGCGCCGATGTCTGGGACGACCGCCTTGCCGAGGTTTCGATAGACGAGCTGAGCTCGTCTACCTCGTCCTCATGCCCGGCGTCTCAATTTGAGGGTACATACGTGAAGGTTGCAGGCCAAATTCCTGGGGCGACAGCGCGATTGTATATCCAAGATGCAGTTTTATCTATTCACTCTTTTATAACAAAACATTCTTCGCAGATCGCATGATACACGGTGCTCGCTCAACTCCTCCTCGTCTAGAACTAACTGTGTCCCATCTATCATTGGATGTACTTCTTCAGTCCGCGCAACCTCTCCTTGGCCGTCTCAAGCACCTCGTCTTCCTTGCAAACCGCGAAGCGGATGTAGTCCTCGGCGATGTGCGCGTTGGGGTCGGTGTAGAACTCGGTGGGCGGGATCGCCGCGACGCCGACCTCCTGGATGAGGAACCAGGCCAGCTTGAAGTCACGCGGGCGACTCGCGACGTGCGCCGGGAAGGGGTAGTCCTCGGGCAGCTTGACCTTGGCCATGTTGACCAGCACGAAGTAGCCGCCCTCGGGCTCCGAGTAGGGCATGTCGAGCTCCTTCCAGACCTCGTTGAAACGGTCCATCTTGCCCTTCATGTCCTTGATGGTCTCGTCCCAGAAGCCTTCCTTCTCGGCTTGCTCGAAGCCTGTGCGGGGGATGGTTGTCAGCATGGACTCATACGTGACGCCGTGTGAGATGAGATTGGGGCAAACGTACCAACGGCGCAGGCCTCTTGGAGGGGCGAGACGGAAGAGTAGCAGATGCGGGTGTGCGCGGCGGAGACGTATTGGATCAGCTCGGCGGGGCCCATGAGCCAGCCGACGCGCCAGCCGGTGGCGTAGAAGTTCTTGCCGGCAGAACCAACGGTGATGGTGAGGCGCTCGATTTCGGGGGAGAGAGTGGCGATTCTGGTGAAGGGGACGTAGAAGAGGCGGTCGTAGACTTCGTCGGAGAGAATGATGATCTCGTGCTTGACGCAGAGGTCACCGATCTTTTGGAGCTCGTCCTTGGAGAAGACCTTGCCGACGGGGTTGTCTGCCTAGTGTCAGTGATGTAAGTTGGAGATCGGGAGGAGGGAACGGACGAGGTGTGTTGAGGACGATCATCTTCGTCTTGGGGGTAATGGTCCGCTCGAGCTCATCAAAGTCGATGGTCCAGTTGGCCGCGGATGAGGTCTTCTCGCCGCCGTCCTTAGGCGGGTGGAGAGGGACGTATCTGATCTTGCCGCCGGGCATCTCGATGTTGCTGATGTACCTTGACGCAGGTCAGCACTTGCAGCTCAAAAGCCACATTCGGGGCTCTCATCATACTGGTCAAAGAAAGGCTCGAAAAGAATGACCTCGTCACCGGGCTCAAGGAAGGCCATGAAAGCACTGAGCATGCCTGAAACACCGTCAGTCCATCGTCGCCGCCGCGGTCATCTCTCACGGCACGGGGCATTTCTCACCCTCGTTGGCGCCGGTGGTGATGGTAACTTCGGTCTCGGGGTCGAGCTTGCGGCCCCAGAAGGGAGAGTAGGCGTCGGCGATGGCCTTCTTCAAACGCGGGCGGCCCTTGGTGGGACTGTACTGGTTGCACTCGACACGGTCCAGAGCCTGCTTGGCGGCGTTGAGGATGAAGTCGGGCGGGTTGTAGCCGAAGAAGCCCTGGCCCATGTTGACGATGGGCTGCTTGGGGGAGGCGGCGGCGGCCTCGTTGATGATAGACCTTCATCACATTTAGCACTTTGTTCATGGGCGTTCACTTCAATGAGACCAGTCACAGCTGCATCTCATCCGAAGGCCATTACACACCAAACATCCTGTCGTCGCCCGGCGACTCGGGCCGCGGGCTTGATCTTGCTGCTGAGGCTCATGGCGGAAGTCTGGAATCCTCGTCTTTTGGCGGCGCTGCTGGGGATGCGAGACCGGAGGAGAGGGAGAAGGAGAGAGTTCATGGAAATAGGGATACAAAAGACGGGAAACGCGACGAGGGAAATCGGAGCAGCACGGCGTTCGACACAACCCTTCCTCTCGCTCGATTAGACCCAGGCGAAACTCGGAGAATGGGAATTGCACGACGCTGATTGCTTGACGGTCCCTTGGCCCCATTCCCGTCTGGAGCCGATTTTGCTGTGGTGCTGGTCGGGCCCCCGATTACGCCATTTGTCTGACCCGATTTTCGGTCTTTCCTCCTCCTCTGCAGCGGGGTGAACCGGCGATTGCTCATTTGGCGGGGTAAAAATGCACGGGCGCGGTGATGACATAATCGCGGATGGAATTCCGATATTCCCCCGGCTGGTTCTGGAGTTCGCTTATTCGCGGGAAGCAGGCGGGACATGCTCGAACTTCTTCTCTGAACATCACCGACAACGAGACGAACTTGACGCGCTTCTTTGAGGTAACAAGACAATGATATTGAAGGTTTTCCATGCTTCCGGCATTTCAATATTATTGTTCAACATGCAGCTGTGCACGGTACCGACATGAGTTGCGCCGATATCTGCACTCAGTAGTTGGCGGGTGAAGCTTTGAAACCGGTCCCCCTCCTACACACCATTTCCAGCCCTATCAGCCCTATCATGAACTCTGTATCAAGTAAAGATGCAAAACATTCAAACAATTTGGCACTATGTTCCAGATCAACGCGGGGGTCTAGACCTCATAACTGCCGATCCCCGCCCTTTCCTGTCAGCATCCAAAAGCAGCCACAGCGGCAGTGCCCGCGCCACCCCCAATGGCAAGCGGTTGTCGTAAGGGAGAGACAGGACTGTCGTTGGATGTGTCAGATCCTTCTCTGAGGCTACCAATTGCGATCTCGATATTGAGTTTACGGTTGCCTTGAAGGATCTCGCTTGTGTCAAGACATTATATGTCTCGGGCAGTCACTTTTTCGGTCCCGAAGAGTTAGACCTTCCCGATACCTATTTCCGTTGTGTACGACTATGATATATTGTCCAGCGTTGCATTCGAACATCTCGCCCAATCAATTTGTATCAATGACGGGTATCATTGAGCCTAGCATGTACAGAAGCTCCTCCAGCACACGACTGTCATTGGCAGAAACACCAACTGCGAGCGACCATCATCGTGTGAAGTCCGTCATTTCAATTAAACCAAGACAACCAACGATACTCTTCCGAATCAGCCACATCCCTACTGAAATCCTTCCTGTGCAAGGGCTTCGCCCGACTTCATGGTCAGTTCTCAGGGACAGGTGATCGCGCAGATGGAGGATTACCACTTGCATCTGAGATCTCATGAATCCCATCATCCTGACATGCGAGACTAAGCCCTTCGTCTTCACGAGTTCTAAGCTAGGCGTCATACTCACTCACGTCTGGTCATTATCGATGTATAAAAGGATGCCCATCTGCGTCTTCTCAAGATGGTTTCGACCTCTCATCATCATCAGTCATACTAGCTTCACCAATCTAAAGAGTCTTAAACCCCAACTACTTCTACTACCCACTTCCAACCTCTCAGACACCCAAAACCCCCATCAAAATGAAGGTCTCCTCCACTACCATCGTCGCCGTTCTCGCCTCCCTGGCCCTCGCCAACCCCGTCGAGCTCGAAGCCCGCGCTGACCACGCCAAGGTCACCACCTTCAGCGACAACCTCTGCAAGAACGGCCCGCGGGTCTTTGAGATCACGGGATCCGGCTCCAAGCGCTGCAACCCCGTCAAGAACGCCCGTTCCATCAAGGTCCAAGATAAGCGGTACGGTCATAGGCCCCTCCCTATCGTGAAGACTTCCAAAGCTGACAAGACATACACAGTGGCTGCACCATCAAGACTTGGAGCGGCTCCAACTGCAAGGGACAGTCTTTCAAGATCCCGGACGGCGATCTCGACTGTCACTCTGTCCTGCACGCGTCGGTCCAGATTCTTTGCTGAGCATCTCAGGGGTTCGTTTGGCTTGGTAGCAATCATGGCAGACACGAGTTGAGGGCGCTTAGGAGTGACAGATGTGGTACACGCGTCATATCAGAGGGAATCGATAGGATACACTCGTTTCACTGAACCTTCTTTTCTGTACTTAACGATTATTTGAAACAAATTATAGGCATATTCATAGCACTAATTTGCGTTAGCTGTGATGGCCACCAATACTTGATAATTCCCACAGTCTCGATGTCTATCTGCTCAAGATCTTGTTGAACAGTCCCTGTGTTCCTAAATGGGAGAACAACTTCGTCATCTGTGAGTGAATCTCGCCGGTCATAACGCAAGCTACCTGTTGTTCGCCATTCTCTATGGTCTGTTAATGGAATGACTTATAGCAGTATGGAGTCTGAGGCAGTCACTTGACACAGTCTATGAACGATGACCGGTATCTTCATCAGCATCGTATCAATTTGCAAAGAGTCCGATATTTGGAGTCCAGGCAATTCACATTTCTCAGCCTGGTGATTCTGATCGATAAGTGTGCAAGAATTTATATCAGGGCCGCTATATTCATACCTAGCTTCTCAAGAAATCGATTACATTGTAGAAGTTCCTACGAGCCCCTGAAGGCAATACCATATGGCTATTTTCACATCTTTGAGGTCAATTCTCATCGCTGGAGTTCAATTTTGCGAAACTGTAGAAACTTGCCTAGAGCTTCTCCGAGACATTAGGCAGCCATGAACTTCTTGACAAACCAACTCGATAACCTGGAGAGTACAGGCCAGTTTGAACTTCTGAGGATCTTCTCTGGACACCTCTAATTGCGACGTTCACCTGGCGAAACATCGCTTGCGTAGGCTCCGAAGAACCCCTGTATCCCAGAACATATCGGGTCCACTCCGGGCGCCGTTCTCCACTGAGTTTTGCCGGAAACCGATCGTGACAGAATGGGCTGCTCTCATTGGCCAAAAAGAGAAAGGACCCTCATAAGCTGGGCGTGACAGGTTGCCCGTTTGACGGCGCTAAACCGCTCTGGTAAAAGTTTCCCGAACAGCTGCCTCAGCCTACCGTCACGGTTGCTGGCTGGCTCGCCCCGAATTTTCCCACCCACCACCCGGAGCGACGAGCAAGGAAGCTGCATGATAACCCCCCAGCGACTGAGGCAAGAGCGTACGACACCTTGTCGCATTCCTGCGGCACGGTTCGACACGCGAGACATGGCCGACCAGAGAAAAATGGTCGCCCTATCTCTCTCCCTTCGTCACAATGCCTCCTCCTCCACCGGGCTTCACCGAGCTCGACGTCCACCATCCAGCAGATCGTCTTCCCATGCGCTGAGAGAGCTGGAAGCAGCTCCGAGACGACGAGAATGGTCGTCGCCCTGAACTCCCGTCTACGGAGCCTGATCCCCGCCATCGCCGTATTCGCCCTCATCCTCGTACTCGTCCGCTTCCACGAGAGCATCATCGACTTCGACACCCTCTTCACGAGCCACAAGAGCAGCGGCGCCTCACCACCGGGAACGAAAAACGCCAAACCGAAAGCGACGCCAATCTACAAACCCGCCCCGACATGGACGCCGCCGCCCGTCATCGACCCCTTCCCCCTCCTCGCCAACACGGCCTCGAACCCGCCCGCGGTCCCCTCCCATAACGTCCCCCGCGAGAACCTCCACGCCGAGTACGGCCTCGACGCCGCGCCCCCGCTCTTCATCGGCTTCACCCGCCAGTGGCCCATCCTCCTGCAGTGCGTCGTGAGCTACATCGCCGCCGGCTGGCCCCCCGCGTCCATCCACGTCCTCGAGAACACGGGCGTCCAGGTCGCCAACGCCCGCGGCAGGCTCTCCCTCCAGAACCCCTTCTACCTCAACCACACCACCCTCGCCCGCCTCGGCGTCAACGTCGTCCGCGCCCCCGCCCTGCTCTCCTTCTCCCAGATGCAGAACATGTTCCTCCACACCGCCCACGAGAAGAACTGGCCCTACTACTTCTACAGCCACCAGGACGTCGTCGTCTTCTCCCTCGAGGACGGCCCCGACGACACCCACCGCCCCGGCGACCGCGAGTGGCAGTTCTACAGCGACGAGGAGCGCGAGGAGACCATGAACCCGCCACCCGCGGGCCAGCCGGGGTACCGGACCATCTACGAGAACTGCCTCCGCGACCTGAACACCACGCTCGAGAGGAAGGAGAAGTGGGCCTTCCGGTGGTACCAGTACGACCACCTCACGCTCGTGAACCGCGCCGCGATGGACGCCATCGGCGGCTGGGACTCGTTGATCCCGTACTACGCGACCGACTGCGACATGAACGCGCGCCTGCTCATGGACGGCTGGACGATGAAGCACCGCCGGGTCGGCATCATCAACGACATCTCCACCCACCTCGAGGACCTGGCCGCGTTGTACCGCGTGCCCGGCGTCGAGCCGAAATGGAGGGACCCCAACCCGCCGTCTCCCGAGGAACTCAAAAAGGAACAAGAGCTGATCGCCGAAAAGAAGAAGAACGAAGAAGCGAAAAAAGTCGAAGAGGCGAAGAAAGCCGAGGAGAAACAAAAAGCAGACGAAGAGGAACGCAAAAAGGCCGAGGACAGACTAAAAGCCGAAGAGCAGATGAAGGCCGCCGGCAGGGACAACGCCGCCTCGAACCCCGCCGAAGAAGATGGAGAGGACAACCCCGGCGCGACGGAGCGCTACCGCGCCGTCGTCCGCGCCGCGCTCGACATGACCCGCTACAAGTACCGCGAGAGCGACCACAACCGCAACTCGTGGCAGAAGAGCCAGCGCGGCGGCGAGGGCGAGCCGTACTACTACGACGCCCAGGGCTTCGCCGAGGCCTTCGAGGTCCTCGTCGCCGCCGGCCGGAGGGTCTTCGAGCTGAAATGGGGGCGCGGCGGGTGCGACATCGGCGAGGGGTACGGGCTCGGCGTCGCGGACCAGTGGCGCGTGTTACCCGAGAAGAAGGATGGGTGAGCTAGTCCCCTTGGAGGGACGTAATCAGTCGGTGATGAGATGTGTAGGAATAAACAGAGGCGCACATGAAGAAGCGCGTAGATATCTAGACACAATTATGTATTCATGGAGACTAGGGAGGTATTCTGGTCCCAAGTCACGAAGATCACAGGCATAGTATCAACGTTATTGGCATATAGTCATGTCTTGTTATTTAATGGACGAAGCCATCTATGATGAAATCTACGCACACGCAAGTCCATCTCTCGTCATTCGAGGAAGGCTTCTTCTAGTGCTTCGCCATGCTCATGCAGACCAAAAAAAAAAAAAGTTGTCGAACAAATGGGAAAAAAGAGAAAAAATCGTACACGTGCTCTCAAAATGCCCCCAAAGACGCCATACCCTTCTATCTAGGTATCCTCGATCCAGAGAGAGTAAAAGGAAAAGGGAAAAACACATAGATTCCAGCCTTTTCGTCGGGGCTGGAATGCTCACTCGTCATTCAAACACACACATCCCACCTACTCAGACATTCACTGAAAGAAAGTTCATGCCTGATCTCTCGCCAGTGCACCGCCGGCCTGGATCTCGCCCAGACCGACCTTGATACCGCCAGACGACGCGGCGGCTTGAGGCTTGGGGGCGGCGGCGATGGCCTTGGCGCCGCCGGAGCTGTTGGTGCTGCTGAGGACCTCGTCGCGGGTGACGCCGAGCCTGCCCTGGGGCAGGCCCATGGAGTGGAGGAAGCGGACGGTCTCGGTCCACTCCTGGTTCTTGCGGGACTCGGACCAGGCGAGCTCCTCTGCCATGACGTCGATGACGCGGGGGAGGGCGCGGAGGGCGGACTCGGCGTCGAGGAAGGCGAGGCGGGTGCGGCGGGAGATGAGGTCGGTGGCGGTCTGGGCCTGCTCGGCGCGGACGCCGTGGCGGATCTCGCCCTCGACGAAGGGGAAACCGGGGAGGATGCGGGCGGTGGAGACGGCGGCGACGGCGAAGGCGCGGTCGCCGTAGTTTGTGGCGAGGTGGTGGGCGACGTCCGGGTCGAGGGAGAAGTGTGAGATGAGGTGGCCGGGCAGCTGGGTGGAGAAGCCGTGGGCGCCGACGAGGGGCACGTTGGTGGTGATACAGTGCCCGGTGGTGGTGATGCCCGAGGGGAGGCCGGCACCGGAGATGTCGGGGAGGGCGAGGCCGGCGCGGGGCTTGAGGTCGAAGGCGGAGATGGCCTCGTCGACGGCGTCCTGGGCCATCTGGCGGTAGGTGGTCCACTTGCCGCCGGCACAGGTGAGGAGGCCGGAGTCGGAGACGGTGACGAGGTGGGAGCGGACGAGGGATTCGGTGTTCTTGGCCTTGGGGTCCTTGACCAGGGGGCGGATTCCTGTTGTGTTGTTAGTTTCTGATCGATGAAGTCACAGAATGTTGCGGTCGCCACTTACCAGACCAGGCAGCCATAACATCAGAGCGGGACAGAGCAGACTCGGGAGTGATCATCTTGTTAACCTCGGAGAGAATGAAGGCGATGTCCTGTTCTTGCGCAACAGGCTCCTTCTCGACGGCGCAGGCGGTATCCGTGGTTCCGGCGAGGGTAGAGCCCTGCCAGGGCAGGACGAAGATGACGCGACCATCCGAAGAGGTTTGCAGCAGACCGATTCCGTTGGGGCATATGTTTCCAGGGAGCATGATGTGAGCGCCGGAGGCCGGAGCGACGATAGACTTGTGGTTGGGGTTGTCCATGCGCTCGATGGCGTCGGCGAAGGGACCGGTGGCGTTGATGACGCCCTTGGCGCGGACGGAGAAGGATTCGGAGCCGGGGTTCAGGACGTCGCGGACCTTTGCGCCGCAGATCTTGCCTTGAGGGTTCTTTTCCAGGGAGGTGACTTCGACGTGGTTGGCGACGGTGGCGCCGTAGAGGGCGGCGGTGAGGGCGAGGGAGACGTTCATGCGGGAGTCGTTGTGCTGGCCGTCGTAGTAGGCGAGGGCGCCGAAGAGACCCTCGCGGCGGAGGAGGGGGAAGGCCTCGAGGGCCTTGGACTTGGACATGAAGTAGGAGCTCTCGAGACCCTGGGAACCGGCGAGGAGGTCGTACATCTTGGTACCGACCCAGGCGTAGGGAGCCCAGTACCACTGCTGGATGGGCAGGACGATGGGAAGAGAAGAAGACAGGTGGGGTGCGACGGTGAGGAAGGTCTTGCGCTCGTGGAGCGCTTCCTTGACGAGCTGCCACTGGGCGTAATCCAGGTTCAGAATGGCCTTTTCGAGGTAACGGACACCGCCGTGGACGAGCTTCGTGCTCTTGGAGGAGGTGCCGGCGGACCAGTCATCGCGCTCGACGAGGGCGACCTTCAGACCGCGGGTGACAGCGTCGAGGGCGATTCCGGTGCCTGTAGCACCGCCGCCGATGACGAGCAGGTCATACTCCTCAGAGGCGGATGCGCGCAGGTCGGCGAGCTGGGCGGCGCGGTCCTTGACGGAGGGGAAGGTGGGAGGGACGATGCGACCCTCGTTGTCGCGCTTCAGCTCGACCAAGGGCTTGTCGAAGGTGTGGGCTCCGCGGCCGCTGTTGAAGGTCAGGAAGGCGGCAGCACCACCGGTCGTGACGACGGCGGCGGCGGCCAGAGGCTTCGCGAGCCTCGAGAAACGAGACGCCATGCTCCTGGGTGTTGACCTCGTATCTCTCGGGGGAGTACTGGGCCGAAGTGTCCTAAAGGACTAGAAAGTCGTTGGGTCGGAGGAAGTCGACTTTCCCAGTGTAGGTGGGAGCCGGTATCTTCTCTCGATGGTGATGTGGTAGTCGTTGGAGGGGTACAGGTGGTGATCCTGGTAGGGAAGGAAGAAGGGAAAAGGGAAAGCGAAGAAAAGAAGAGAAAGTGTGAGGACTTAAGAGGGTCAGAGAGGTGAGGATGTCGATCGGCAGAATATCAGATTCCGAAGAAGAAGAGAAGCTTCGGGCTGGGCCGCCTCACCCGCACGTACAGTTTGGGCTTCGATTCGTGGAAGTAGACCCCGAGGTCGACGAGACGAGACGAGGAATGGTTCCGTTCGGCGCTACTAAAAATCTTCCGTTGGTCTGGGCAGGGCAACACAACAGCTGCAGCATACAGTGGAAGGGAAAATAAACAGGGCGAAAGTGGGAAGGGGGCGGCGTAGTGTGCGGATGGATAGGTGGGATCAGTGATGAATCGGAGATCGTTTGGAGAGTCCTTGTGGTCGCGATTCACTCTCACGGTTCACCCCCACGTGGCCCCAGGCCCTTCTATTCTCTGGACAAACCCTTTCGAGTCCGTGGTTTGCCTGTTACCCTGCAAGACGGTTGCAACGCTGTGGCGTGCATTGGCAATGCTGGCGGCTTCATTGAACCGGACATGGCCTAAGCTGTCACTTGTCCGGGTGCGCTTTCTCGTGGGCGACGGATTCTGACATCATCCGGAAGGCACCGAGCTCAGGCCGAACAGTAAAAGACTCTCTCATCAGGTCATCAGACAGACTGGCAGAGACCTGGAAAAGGCAAAGGAAGGCCCGCTTCTCCTTCGTCATGTCGGCAGCAACGCAGGATCCAGTATGGAGAAATGAATGGGGAAAGCACGAAATCTCTCGGGGCCCCGGGGTGATGGGCGTTTGCAAGTTTGCAAGAGGTGCGGTGCCATCCCATCCGTGTGGTGTTTCCAGTCAGAGCCTCAAATGTCACTCAGGGGTCTTTGACGCATCTCGGTATTTAGGACCCGAAATTGGGGGAGATTCGGTAATTGCTCGGCACTCTCGAGACGAGCGCCCCTGTCTCGGTGGTTTCGGTCCTGCCTCCCGAGTCAGACGCCATTAAAAAAAAAATTTTGACAGAAAAATTGTTGCAGAAATAAAAGAGTGGGGCCTCCTCGCAATGATCGGCGAATCTTCCGAGCCGGATGGATAGAAGTGGGGATGTCTCCATTAGGATCCCGTCCCCTGCCTGTCGACCCTTCTTTCCTTCACAATTCACCGTGGTTTCTCCTCTTCCACTGCGACGACGACCTCCACTCACCTCTGCACGCCGTCAGACTCCTCACTTCAGCCACCTTTCTCCAATTCGCTACACCTCGGTATCCAACTCCCGTACCTACCGCACTCTGCAGAATCGCAAACCTCCTGCTGCATCTAAGACACGCATGGCCATGCAGCCACAGCTCCAATTCGGGCCGCTGGAGTCTACGACTCCTCTACCGTCTCCATCGTGGGATGTTTGCCCACACAAGGCCACGCCATTTCGCGCCGTCCGCCTTATCTCTCGCGGAACTGAGGCTGCTGAAGGCCTGATTACTCTGGGTCCCAGACGCCGTTTCGAACATTCAGGCCCGATTACTCAAAGGCCGCACTTCGTCTTAAAGAACGGCCTGCCTCCTGACGCCGACCGTTTTTGGTTCCCGAGATGGCGCGAAATGCCAGAGATTTCATCGACAATCTTTCGGTCCCAAAGCCATGGCTTCCTTTGCCGTTCATACCATCCACTCGATATCATGCCGCCAAGTCCTCCAAAACCTGCCTCAGCATGCCGAATCTTCCTCATGACCCAGCTATTCCCGCACCACGCCCACTCACACCGGCTGGCATCCGGGCAGGAGTAGCTCTACCTCGACAATGTACCGTACCTGCTGTGTACGGGTACGTACACCGCACAGCACCGCTGCTCTGCCATCAGGTGCTCGGTCGTAGGGAACATCGCTGCCAGCACCGCACACCATGGACACACACACCAACCTTTCCAGGTTCAGTGGCCTTGGACGCCGCACTCAGCGCACACACCCGCCGTCCGCCGTCACCCGCGCCGCCACTTTTTACCGCCTCCCCGACCGCACCCACGCCGTCAAGTACCTCGACCGTCGCCGAACATCCCGGGCCGCTGTACAAACGCCTGCAAAAAGTGGACGGAAGGAAGATAAGGTGGCCACGGTGGAAACGATTCCATTCTTTGCACACGAGTCTCCCCTTTCTGCCTGCAGAGGGTCACGATGCAGTCATATTCATGGCAAATCTCGTCTAGCTGGCCAGGCTTCCCGGTTTGCTCAACTTCCGCAGTTGGCACTTCGTCACGATACCGCTCTTCGAAATACACGCCATGCCCCGACTTACACGTCTGGCTACACACAACGGTACGGTGTGCAGCTGTGTAATCATCAAGAAGACACATGCGACTGCCGCCCTCATCCCAGAAGGCAATCAATCTGAGTAATCGGCACGCCGCACCACCACAGACGCAAGGCCCAAGGATGCTGGACGAACTCCCACCATCTCGCTCTTGGCTGTTGGCTGCTGGCATTAGTGCAACGCCGTGCTACCCCGCGGACCCCAACTGAAGCCCCCAAACGCAACCTAATCTTTGCGATGGGCGACGTGCATCAGCTCGTCGCACTCTGACTAAGGCATCACCGAACACGCTCAGTCCGCCGAGTCAGAGTCGGGCTCAGCAGACTTTGACTTTGAAGAAGCCCTGAACTTCTCTGAATTGACCTTTGTCGATTCAAAGTTGCTATACAAGATCTGTACCTGTACCGTTCGAACTAACAAACACAGCAGAAACATTCTCGGCTTTACTCAACATCCATACACAGCCCCGATCCTCCCAAATCTGAAGGCCACTCGCAACACGTCTCCAGCGAACCGTTCCAACATCTGAAGCTTTCACGTCAACTCCCGCGCCCACCACCGTCCAATCCGCGCCCTCTCCCTCCCTTGCTTGGACGGGACGGAGTTCAGGCGGAACGGCCTAACTTCAAACTCTGCCCGTCTTTCTCACAAACAACCACCCGCATCACCGACAAACACCACGAAAAGCTTGACACCTCACCAATTCGTCCGAAGTCGTGCTAATGCGCGAATCTGTTTTCTGGAAAAGAAACACGCACGCAATCTCGCTGAGCTGTCAATGCAGCTCCAAACGCGTCCCCGAAGCTTGAGGTAGGTCTCCGAGCTGCGTCGTCGGAGCTACACTCCGTCCTCCCACCTCCCGTCCGTCTGCTACCGCTGCCGCGTGCTGGACATTGGGAGTTCACAGCGACTGTGGACTCCCACTGCTCCCCCGTCTATTGCCAACTTCAGCAATCGGACGCAGTGTCGAGACAAGGTAAGGAAGGCATCCAAAGCAGGACGGTCCGGCTACAGACGGACAGAGGGGGCCATGCTGCATTTCACCGCGAGTATTGCAAACCGGATTTCTGCACACGCAACCGCGCTCTCGAATCCTGATGCTACCACAACCCATCGATCTGAACCACTCAAACCCTCCACGCCTCACAAATTCCAGTGAGGCGTTCAAGTGGTCCCGGTTTCCCCCTGGCAGATCGCGAACACTATTGGATTCTAGATGTTCCAATCGCCAGGGCCCCGGTGGAATCTGCAGCCCCGTCCGACGTTTGTGGTCGCGATTCAATTTCCAGCAGCATGGCTCGCTGGTAACTGGTTCCCCGAGGGGCCCCAAGTTCCCCCCCAGTCCCAACAGTTTGGGGCAAACCCCGTAATTTGCTGTCCTGGCAAAAATCGCCGACACGACGGAAGAATTCAGGGCGACGCCTGACCTTGGCCCGCACCTCGGGTGTCGTGACAATCATTCAGCGAAAGCCCAACGCCCTGGAATTCAAGGGTCCTTGGGGCCTGATGCCTGGCATACTAATTGATTGCAACTTCCGTAGTCGGGGCGCACTCGCGTCCCGTGTTCGTGACTCTCTTGTTTTCACTTTTTGTTTCACCACCAGTAACGACAATAGCAGCAGCAGTGATTTGAACTTGAGAACTTGGTATTGTGATACCTTATCTCTCTCTCTCGCTCTTTACTCCCGCTGCCCCCAAACGAAAGCCCGACAGCAGCAACGAGCGGTGAAGCTCACAACAGCAGTAGTAGCAGCAGCAGCAGCAGCAGCAGCAGCCACAACAAACAAACAACAAAACACCAAACCCGTTGATCCGCGCCCACATCCCAACCCAACCCAGCATAAACAGCACACATTCATTCACCCGCCAAACAAGAAACTGAACTTGACTTTCGATCCCGAAGACCAGCAGCAATTCGACCAAACCGCAATTTTTCGTGCGTCCCGTGAGGTGTTTTTCGTTTCTTTCGTTTCGTTTGACCCAGACCAGACCAGACCCCGGCGGGCCCCGAGAGAGGCTTCATTCCCCGAACGGAACGCCGTCTGCTCTCGTTCACCGGTCTCTTCTTCTCTCTTGGTATCATTTCCCTTGATTTTTTCTTCTTCTCTCTCTTCCTCTCAACTTCTTTTACTCTCCTCTCTCATTGTGTTCAAGCGCATGGGACATGGCGCGTGTCATCATATCTTCAATCTGAAGTGGACAGAAAAGCTTCAATCTGTGGCGAGCAGTGACGCAAGGTGGCTCTCACAAATCCTCGGTCACCTCAAGCGAGGACGAGGCAGAAGCAGCTTATACCTTGCTGTTATACGTGTTGGACCAGACTTCACGACGGGGCTGGTAGAGGCGCTTGAGGCCGAAGTACGGGCTGTTGATGGGGCTCTCGCCCGTGTAGAGGAAGACGTCGTACAGGAAGCCTCCGAAGAGGGTGCCGAGGAAAGGGGCGACCATGGGGATCTGTCAACGTCGCCGTTAGTCCACGAGACTCGTATCAAAACGGGGAAAAGTCTTATCGATGATTTTCGCCACGACGAAAA